AAAGATAACAGCTGACGTCATGCGCTATTTCCCATACAAAATTGAAAAGACTCCGCAACTTTCGTTAATAATTCATTTGATTTTGATTTATATATATATCATATTCTCGATTCATAAATAGTAACAAATGACATTTTGTAAGTAACTAATCAAGTGTCGTAAAACATTTTCCGATTTTATTGCGACCTATATCCGGCGCACGCACCCAACGGAAGTCTGCAGTAATCAGGTCAGAGTTATATTTGAAGTCCGGCATGTTGTTGATGTTGATCGTGCAACCGGAGAAGGTTGAATTTGTGAAAAATCCAGGCATACAATTGTTTGTTGATCACACAGACACTTGAGACAGGCAGCTGGTGTTCGGGATCAAAGCAGAAGATACCGATAAGTTCGGTAGTGACACTGTTAAGTCGCTCGGAGGTGCAAAGACCAACTTCAGTTATAGTCTCATAAGATGAAGCTGCTATTGGCAGTACGTTAGTAGTAATATAGAAGGGCTTTGCCACACCTAATGTAAATATTTTGGTATAAACCACTTTCGATATTTACATGTGTACCGTTTAAACTCGAAATACCTATTTTATTTCCTAAATAAGAGTGATTTAAACAAAATTTGATATACAGTTGTAATTTCTGTTTATTATACCTAGCGGAATATGTGCTATTTAGTTCTACAATGCGTATTACACCATACGGTATTATAAATGTAAAAATGTCGAAAATTGGACCTGACTCTCAGGTAACCGAACAGGTCAATACCATTTGGATGAGTAACCGGGATATTTGCATGGCCTGTACTTGACACGGCGTGATGCTCGGTAATGTATATTATTAATGTAGGACTGTTTTGTAAATACAACGTAACATAACCTGTTCGTTAATTGGGTTTCGTGTCGATCTACATTTTCTCTGTGCATGACACCTGCGGTATATTCACACTTCAGAAGGTTTCGTAAGTGCCCCGTGTGACGAAAACAAACCAACAGTAAGTGAACAATGCGGTTATGTTTACCTGTGTACTTGTACGAGACCAAGTTGATGTGTGTATTTATATATCTCGATTTATGTACTTCATGATAAACATGAAAACACGACGTTTGAACTACGTGTAAATACATATATAAACGTACAAATCTAGCTAAAATAAAATAGCATACCTTAAAATCAAGATTATATGGTTTTGATACGGAATCGTGTTTATTGTTGAAACTATCACCTATTCATATCAAATACGATTGGCACAGCTCACCAGTCATCCATCGTGCACAAAAAGATTTGCGCAAACATTAATCGCCAAGTATTCCATCGTTCGCACATGGTGCGCACATCATACATCGTGTGTATATCATACATAAATCAACCACATACCGCAAGCACATCGTGTGTATACTGTACCATACATACATCAACCACATACCGTAACTAGATCGTGTGTATACTGTACCATAGATACATCGACCACATACCGTAAGTACATCGTGTGTATACTGAACCATGCATACATCAACCACATACCGTAAGTACATCGTGTGTATACTGTACCATAGATACATCAACCACATACCGTAAGTAGATCGTGTGTATACTGTACCATACATCCATCAACCACATACCGTAACTACATTGTGTGTATACTGTACCATACATACATCAACCACATACCGCAAGCACATCGTGTGTATACTGTACCATACATTCATCAACCACATACCGTAAGTACATCGTGTGTATATCATACATACATCAACCACATACCGTAAGTACATTGTGTGTATACTGTACCATACATACATCAACCACATCCCGTAAGTACATCGTGTGTATACTGTACCATACATCCATCAACCACATACCGCAAGCATATCGTGTGTATACTGTACCATACATACATCAACCACATACCGTAAGTACAACGTGTGTATACTGTACCATACATACATCAACCACATACCGTAACTAGATCGTGTGTATACTGTACCATAGATACATCGACCACATACCGTAAGTACATCGTGTGTATACTGTACCATACATTCATCAATCATATACCGTAAGCACATCGTCTGTATACTGTACCATACATTCATCAATCACATACCGTAAGCACATCGTGTGTATACTGTACAATTCATTCATCAACCACATACCGTAAGTACATTGTGTGTATACTGTACCATACATACATCAACCACATACCGTAACTAGATCGTGTGTATACTGTACCATAGATACATCAACCACACACCGTAAGTAGATCGTGTGTATACTGTACCATAGATACATCAACCACATACCGTAAGTCCATCGTGTGTATACTGTACCATACATACATCAATCATATACCGTAAGTACATCGTGTGTATACTGTACCATAGATACATCAACCACATACCGTAAGTCCATCGTGTGTATACTGTACCATACATACATCAACCCGTTACCGTAAGTACATCGTGTGTATACTGTACCATAGATACATCAACCACACACCGTAAGTAGATCGTGTGTATACTGTACCATAGATACATCAACTACATACCGTAAGTACATCGTGTGGATACTGTACCATACATACATCAACCACATACCGTAAGTACATTGTGTGTATACTGTACCATACATACATCAACCACATACCGTAAGTACAACGTGTGTATACTGTACCATACATACATCAACCACATCCCGTAAGTACATCGTGTGTATACTGTACCATACATACATCAACCACACATCTTTCACCTTTCAATATTTCTCAGATTTTTATTCATATAAATACACAACTGCAGCAACAGTTGTCTATGTCTTTGAACGACACTGAACAAAACTATAACCATGTACGTGTCATTTAACTATAATAAAATCTGCTGTTTTAAATTTTTGGACAAGTTTACCTGCACTTGCGTTAACTGTATTTAAAATTATTTGTTTCTGATTTATCACTTATGAATAATTTCTTAGATATTCTCCTTACAGATGGAATTATAGAAACCGAGGACTTTGTTATATTGATGCGGTCGAAACTCGGATCGGACGAGCTGAGTAAGGAAGATTTGCAGGAAGCTTTTTCCCAGCACGATGTGGATAACACTGGAGCCATTTCTCCGGATGCGCTTAAAGTGATCCTTTCCGTAAGTTCACTCTCCCAGGAACAGATTAGTCAGCTGGTCATTGACGCGGACACTGATGGAGACGGCACGATCGATTTTGAAGGTAGGTTTTGATTGCGGTATCGATTAATCCTGGTTACTGTAAATCATTAAATTTTACTTATTTCGTAGTCATGCTCTCATTAGAGAGAATTTGAATTAGCGAATTAAAAAATAACACATTTACATAGTAAAATATAGATTTCGAGTTTCGGTTTTGTGTTTGTGTGTTAGAAGTGTTTGATAACCATATGTTTCTGTTTTACATTTTTGATCATCGTTCTCCTTTGGATGACCAAAGTAGATTAATATCCCGCGAATTACACATGTTTGCAGTGGTATTATGATGTAACATACTTCGGTGAAAAATTTGAACTCGATTATCAGAAACAGAAATGTCATTGTTGTCACTGCTAATACCATGTATAACTATATTGTTACCATTTATAACTTTTTTCCCAGAGTTTTACGCCTTGTTTACGACGATGATCTGATGATAGGGAGACTCAAACTTGTGGTACGTTGTCATTGTATATCGTTGTTTTGTCACAACATGTGTTACATATCTGAAACACTTTTTAATTTTTTGTTTCTTTCTCGTTTCACGTATCTTTCATTTTACCTTCTCTTGATAAAATAATGAATATGTAGTTAAATATTAAAACTAATAATACCACTTCACTGCGATTCAATAAAAAAGGTCTGAATATTTTTAACATGAACAATAATATGAAATAAAAGATTAGTTATAATTTTTGCACTGATTGTCTTAGAGTATATGTTTTGCCTTTATTTTAAATAGATGGATTTTTATAAATTGCTACACATTTTAATGCTCATTTTATTCGTCTAAACCTTTGATTATAATTCAGTAGTGTTTTGACGTTACTTTACTTGATACATATAATAATGATAATAAAAATTCGAGGTTCTTATACACCGCAATATCACAACCTAGTTCGTAGGTCGTCTCAAAGCGGTTCACAAATTATTATCCGTGGTTATAGGGTCTTTGCAACCAGCCAATATATTTATCAACTCCCTGGGGAGCATACAGCCGGAGCTGCCATTTTGGCGCTCACAGCTAGCGTTCTACANATACAGCCGGAGCTGCCATTTTGGCGCTCACAGCTAGCATTCTACAATTCTACAATTATAGCACGTACTCATTTACAGCTGAGTAGACTGGAACAAGCGGAGTAAAGTATCTTGCTCCAAGATACAACACAGTGCCGTACCGTGACTCGAGCAGGCAACCCTTCGGTCACGAGCCCGGCGTCCTACCATTAGACTACCATGTCTCCTAAAGGGATTGATGATATATCTATAAAGAAATATAACAGTATACCTCACGTACCAAACGATCATAGCTACACTGCACTATAACGAAATGGAATTCATTCGAAATCACAATTACAATAGTTAATTCCGAATGTACGCAACTGGATCCGCTAATTGACTTAGCAATTAGAACAATGTATTTGTTATAAAAGGTTTATATATATAAACCTAATGACTCATTTCGGGGTGGTATGATGAAAGAAGTCAATATATTCTTCGATTCCACTAGGTCTGTGATATTACCGCCTCAATGCAACCTCATTGACAAAACGCCCATACGATGAAGTAAAAGGTTTACTTTGTCTAGCATTCTGCAATTTATAATCGAAACTTGCGAAGAGGTGTTTCATTTCTTAGTGATTCTAGTGATTATTTTTCCGTTAAGAATGAACTTATACCATTCGTAAAATAAACGAGCATAAACGGTTCATAGTATTTGACCGAATACACGTATATTACTCCTGTATAAAACCCCACAGCCTTGGTGACAGACAGCCTCTACGAGTCGTTCTTCAAACATCAATCCCAAACCCACAGCTTTGGTGTCAGCCAGCCTCTACGAGTCGTTCTTCAAACACCAAAACCCAAACCCACAGCCTTGGTGTCAGCCAGCCTCTACGAGTCGTTCTTCAAACACCAAAACCCAAGCCCACAGCCTTGGTGTCAGCCAGCCTCCAAGAGTTGTTCCACAAACAATACTCCCGAACTCCAAGCCTTGGTGTCAACAAACCATTAAAAGTTGTTCCACGCATACGTCTCCTTTCCCTATAAAGGAATTGTAGAAGCGGTGTCGCTGTACTCTTTCTAAAGATTCGCCCCAAAAGAAACGTTTTAAGAATGTAACATGAGTGTATTTATCAATTGCTAATAATTACAGTATGAATAATAGTGTTGATTTTTATAGTATATGAATGTTTTCTGTAGATTTTATTTTTTTGAATGTCAAATATTTCCCTTTCCTCTAAATTATCCGTCAAACTAACATGTGCTCTGTAAAGACATCGTGTTACATGTATATGTAGTAATCCGTTATCAACTTTGTTTTGTCGGACTTTCTTCAGGAGCTTTGTAAAAAATGTTTCCATTTTGGTCATCTGTCGAAACATCAGATTTCTGTATAGAGGTTTGATTAAATATCGAAAGCTGCTTTTCCCTTCCATAATCTGTCAAACTTTACGCACTTTTAAAATAGTTATTCTGTTGAATATCAAATCGCAAATTTTCAAATACGTGTTGAAGCAAAATATTTTCTATATTTCAGTAAATATCAAATATCGCTTTTATCACACATGTCACCATGTCTCTTAACATAGAATTCAGTAGGATCTATACAATGCAATATTGCAACATCACACTTTTCTTCTATTTGATCAGTAAAAATGAAGTGCGCGTTTTACTTTTTTCCCAACTTGTCTTGTCATACGTTTGTTGTTTTTTAATAATAAAACCACAAAATTCAAACAGAACTAAGCTAAATACCCGTTTTAAGATCAGATTTGAATATCATTTTTTGTCTAGAATCATTGTTTTAATCACTACTCTTGTAATATTTTCAGATTACAATCATGATGGGATAAAATGACTAACAACACATCGTGTTCCATTATGTTGATAACAGTGGACATCGTATGACATCATTAAGAACTTTGCTGACCATTTATTTTCGAGGAAGGACACTCTGTTATAAAATAAAAATATTTGTTCTTTCCTGTGAACACTCAAGTCAAATCGCTTAGCTAATTCTCGGAACAACCAACCAAATCGGTTTATTGTGTAGTTTTCCCAATATCACGTACCGTTATTTATCCATAAGAAGAGACAACTTGACGCCACAGAACTTTGCTAACCATTTATTTTCGTAAATAGACCATTTGTGATAAAAAGCGATATGTTCCTCACCCTTGATACATGTAACTCAAGGCTTATCGCTTCGTTAATTCTCGGAACAATCTATCAAATTGGTTTAGTGTAGCATTTCCCCATATAACGTACCGTTATTTAGACATCAGTGGACATCATGTTCCGTCATGGAGAACTGGGCTGACCATATATTTTTGTAGGTGGACAATTTGTGATACAGATGCATTTTCTTACCTTTGATAACCCAAGACTAACCGTTCCGTTAACAACCAATCAAATGGACGTATTGTATGATATGTACTGCAGTTGTCATCCGTATTCTGATCCATTTGTTCATTTTTTATACTAGGAAAAATAAAATACTCACTTATCTGTTAAGGATGTTTGGCTTTTGATGTTTTATAGCAACGTGTTTTTACAATGAATTTGTCAAGTAGTACAATTTACCTGCAAAACATTTACCATAGCAGCTCTGTCAAATCCACTAGAAAATAACTATTATTATATGTATCCTTCTTCTTTAAACGCATGTGGCCTTTCGAACTTCATTTATCCTGTTGATTTCATGGACTGCTAATATAGTGTAAATACCGGTTTATGTTTTGGAACACTTTAAACATGATAAATTTTCATTTCCTTCCATTGATGTATTCTTAAACAACGGAATCGCGATAATGAGCTGTTAATATTGACTTTTTCAAATAGTTAAATCCTTATATCTATTTCTATGTATTGTTTTAGTTTTGCCTCATAACGAACTCAACAATAATCAGGTCATAACACGACTCAGTTTTACTATAGTTTATACTATAATTGTTTATATATTGTGTTTCAAAAGGTAACAAGATAGGTCACGCAAACAAGTAGATCTATTTCAACGTAAAAAAACATTCATCCTCCCTCCCCCTACTTCCCTGTATTAATTAAGGCAGGGACTGAGGGGTTTAGGGAAGGGGATATGGCTTTTGGAGGTTGGGTAGGGGTATCCAGATTGGGGCTAATTTCTTAGTCCCCCCTCGAAATCAACTTTCACCCAGCACTGTAGTATTTCTATCGGTACCATTACAGTGGAACGTGTTAGTGTAGAAAAAAGGCTTTTACTAGCAGGTTCACTGAGGCGTAGGGGAAAAACATAACAAACGCTACCTCATATAGGTTTTTCGTCATTGAAGTCATTTTCAACAAATAACTACGATGCTGTCAGACATATGTTTTGAAAGCAGATCATGGTGACTCGCAGTAAAAAGCAGTAAGTGAACTCATATTTCCTCATTGTACATAGTTTCTCTAATTATACTTATACTTTCACATTATACACACAATTCCTCATTATATTCATTTCCTTAATACTTAATATACTTATTATCGCATGTATTTATACCCTATCTTAACTTGTGTGATCCTATGGCCGGAAATACAGATACGTATTCAGGGATATTAACTTACAAGACTGTTACTATGGCGGTGCTTCATCCGTCGTCATTCCGTCAGCTGATGTCCGTGAGTAGAAATCAGCCATGGTTTTGTGATAGCATCTTTAGCTTAATAGGAGCCGGAGGTTTTGGGATTTTACGAATGACCCTATTGGGGCTGCCATGCTTGAGACGAGATGTAAGTTATGCCATTTACTTCCAAGCTAGGGGGAACATGCTTTGCCATTATTTATGTACATTGGCTGACCACCTGGGAACTGAGGGTTTGCGTAAAAAACGGTGACATCGGAAGGGTATACTTTTTTAGTTTCAAAATCTTCCTAAACTACTGGGCCAATGTCATCTAAACTATTCTGGAAGACGCCTATCCAATGGCAATAAAAAAAATATATGAAACATGAAGGGGCCTGACCTTCTTGGGGATCTTATCTCAAACTACACGGCAGATTTCAATTTGGTTCCCAAAATTGCTAGATGGACGATTCAGAACCCATGAGCCCCTTGCTTTGTGGGAGTTTGTTAAGAGTTATATCCCTTCTGCCCTGAAGAACGAGGAAATTCTATTTATTAGATTACTATGGTGGCATATTTCTGCCATCCACTTGCGACTTACGAGTTACGTATGTCGACATAATTATTGAAAGATGTCGACATAATCTGAGAATATGTCAACATAATCTGAGAAGATGTCGACATAACTGTTAAATTATGTCGACATATTATCGCATTTGCCGAGAAAATTTTGCCGAGATAATTATCTCGTAAGTGGTTAACTCGGCTTTTTATCGTGTTAATGCTCGGGTGTGACATCGACTTACGACTTGCCACTTACGACTTATTTATGTCGACATCCTAGTAGATTATTGCCGACTTACCAAAACGAGGCTTGTGCACGAGGACCGCGAAGGGGGGCTGATGGTGACTGAACAGTGGTGACTATACTGGTGAGTAACTTGGTAAAATCAATGTAAATATAGATAGTACAGTAGGGTACTATGATGTACAGAGTTTATCAATCAAAGAGGGATTTTACATAAATAAGTCGTAAGTCGTAAGTAGCAAGTCGATGTCACACACGAGCATTAACACGATAAAAAGCCGAGTTACCCACTTACGAGATAATTATCTCGGCAAAATTATCTCGGCAAATGTGATAATATGTCGACATAATTTAACAGTTATGTCGACATATTCTCAGATTATGTCGACATCTTTCAATAATTATGTCGACATACGTAACTCGTGAGTCGCAAGTGGATGGCAGAAATATGCCACCATAGATTACTGTCGTATTACAGACTAGCACTTCAATGGTTATAATGTTCAATGTACACCGCGTTAGATCGATAGAAATTATTGCATTCTTTCTTGATAGATTCTCATTGATTGTATATTATGTTGACGTAATTTTACAGTCAGCAGCGAGTGGTTCGAATTCTTTAATGCATAGTAAGCTTTGTACGACAAATAAACGCATTTTGTTCTAGTCATTGTATGCAACGAAATGTTGAAACTCAAAGCTAAACACTTTTTTATAATGATTTAACTCTATTACTTAGAAAAACGAAAAACAAATATATTTGAAAGTTCTCAAATAGTTCTTAAAAATCAGGTTTGGAAAACTCGAAATGGATCAAATAAGCCAACCGGGCTTTTGATGTAGACCCGGTATCGTTACCCTCCAAGTCTCACCTTGGAACTATGTAGTTTTTATCATTATTGATGTTTCACAAAGGCTTAATAATGTGTATGTGGTAAAGGTTATAGTGAACAGGTAGTGCGTGTGTGTGTTACTGTGAGTTCAGAGGCGTTAGTGAACAGCAACCTGTACATATGTATAGCATGTAATGATGTAAGTACGTGTGTTACTGTGAGGTCAGAGGCTTTATTGGACAGCAACCTGTACAACTAAAAACGTCTCCTTACCAAGAGAAATAATCACAAAACACCTATTGCAATTGTAGTTTGATAATTGTTCCTGACTTATTCAGTATTCTTAACTCAACTTAAATCAAGTGTTTAAACTTCGTTCTTCAATATGTGTCAATTGATGAGACGAACGTGTTATCAATTGATTAATTAATTTATTGATTTATTTATGGGTTATATTGAATCTTCAATTTTTTTAAATTATATATTCATATATAGGGATAAGTTGATAATGAAGTCTTATTAATATCTGAAAACGTTTTAAACGGCCATAGAACCCATAAGGGGTCATTAGGGTCATTAAAGGTCAAGAACAACTTGTAATCTTTTGATGGATTCAGGCCTTGAAATCGTTACCAGATATGGAGAAACTGTTGTAGCTTGTTGACTGTAAAGATGTTTGTAAATTGTAAAGTGCGAATATTCATTGTATAAAGGAAGATTTATGTACTTATTTATTTTAATAAAAGATTCTGTCATTAAATATATGAAAAGTATACAGTTCATCACTATGCATGAATTAGCGCCGGGCTGAACCTAGAATTTCTGTGTGATTATAAAAGTTAGCAAGTTAAACATACATTAAATGAATTATAGCTTGACCCACTGAAGCTGAATGTTCACCTAATAAGTTTGGAATATTTACCTTGTTTTTGGACAGAGTCTATCTATGAATCATTAGAAGTACCAATAAAAGCATAAGTTTGAGTAATTTCCCTTGATACAGTTTGTACAAAATGCATCTTTCATTCATCCAATAATCATCTGTCACTTTAATCGATATTTTGTTGGACTTATGAAAGCAATATATGATCCGAAATTGGACTCTTTGTATATCAACCATACATATGTCTGTGACATTGGAACTGTACAAGTCTCTCAACAAGACATGTTCTAGCGAGGAGACATTGGTGGATATTTTGAGGACCATTTAAATGCATTGTGTTCCAACAAAAGACCGTGTAAGCTACACAAACCAACATCGGATCTATATCTTACCGAGTAGCAAGCCAACGATCGTCGTCCTCGAGGTACATCGCAGACATATATGTGACTGACCTATAAAATCTAGTCTTTTTTCATTCTGCCACTATAGGTCAGGTTACACGCGGGCCGTGTACTGCTCGACGGGACACATATATTGCACTACAACGCTGGATGCGACATTTAAATAAGCTAATTGAGGAATATTATTAGCCTGTTTTCACGTTGTTCCTTTCTTCAAGGTGTGATTGTTACCTATAAACAAGGTAAGTACACGTTTAAAATCCTACGTAGGTGTGGATAGTGATAAGTCTGGTAAATATCTTCCATTGTCAACCAACAACAACAGCGCACATTGACGACGATTTTAATCCTTCTTCTCATGGCTGTCTATATAAGGAGTCCTATTTGGATCATATATTGCTCTTACAAGTCCGTTCCTAAGGACAATTTCGATCTATTTGTCGTTTTACTTGCTTGCGATTTTAAATTGTAGAAACGTACGGAATTGGAATGTACGTACATGTTTCAGTCGGCTTGGGTTTATTTGTGGCAGATCTAAAGGAGTGTCCGAAGGATATCCGTCAACCTCGTTCCCTTCCCACGCCCCTCCCAGGCTTCGAAATTAATTAACATTTTGATCCCCTTACTAGAAAATTCGCTACGGAATCTTTGTTTCTATGAAGTGAATAGAATATCCTGTCATAACATACTAGGATGTCATTTAGCCAAGGATAAGATATGATTCCTATTCTCTTTTTACTAATTGTACAATTTTCTGATGACTGTTAATTTCAGAAAATATCCTCTTGTCAATGAAAGTAGTAATCGAACGATGGCCTGTTTTGTCTCCGTTTAAATACAAAATGTATTTCATAAATATACTAACATCGAACAGTTCAGAAACTGTAGGCCGAAAGTAGTCTTGATTTACATTAAAAAGGATACAGTGGTATGTATACGTAAATCTATGAATTTGAATGTTTTCTGATTAAACAGATTAAGTTTACAAAGACAAAGTGATAATTTTAGAGAAAAGCTTGGTTTAAACAGAATTTTGGTTTGAATATGTTTGTACTATAATTGTTTATATATTGTGTTTCAAAAGGTGACAAGATAGGTCACGCAAACAAGTAGTTCTATTTCAACGTATAAAAAAATTCACACACACACACCCCTCCACCTTCTTCCCTGTATTAATTAAGGCAGGGACTGAGGGGTTTAGGGAAGGGGATATGGCTTTTGGAGGTTGGGTAGGGGTATCCAGATTGGGGCTGATTCCTTAGTCCCCTTGAAATCAACTGTTATCCAGCACTGTAGTATTTCTGTCGGTACCATTACAGTGGTACGTGTAGTACGTGGTAGTCAATACATATCAACAGAGAACCATATCATTTCAATATCGACCTACAATGTAGAACTCTATACTGAACCTCGGGTGTAATAACACCGGTGGCCGAGCGACAATCGACATTAAAATCCAATTGTCAGGTCGTAAATAAGAGAATGGTTGGGCTTTCACACGGTCTTGTATAGGTGGATAATTGATTTGGATATACCGATTCTATCGATAGTGTTTACAGAAGTATAATTAACCTTGTATCTGGACATAAAATTGAAATAGAAAGACATTTACATTCATACTGAAAAGTAACTTCTGGTTTTCGGCATGTATTTGTAATCTTGCGTACAGATCTACTGACTCTATCGATAGGAGTTATAGAGGTATAATTGACCTTGTACCGAGACATAAAATTGAAATAGAAAGACATGTACTTTCATACGGTAAATTAACTTCTGGTTTTTGGATTGTATTTGTAATCTTGAATACCGATCGATACAAGTTAAGCATTTTAAAAAGAGATTGGTTCGCTTTAAGTCATCGACTTATCTTATATATTCTATTATATCTTTTTGAAAATTATTTGATTTGTTTAAGTCTAGCAACCTATAAGCTTGTTTTGAACATATTTGACTCGCTTTTATCTACATTCTCCTAAGCTTGTTTTGAATTTGGTGTTCAGTAGGTGTCATAAAAATCAGACGTAATGGGAATGAATTCTTTTAACTGTATAAGTTTTCAAAATATTTTAAATTGCACATTTTGTGATCGTTTAGTCAGAGAATACCAAGGAAAACACCGTCAATGTCGGCATTGTTGTGAAAACGTAATGTCATAGTAGTTTTGTTTGGGACGTCACAATGGTTTATAGTACACGTGTTACACAGGCATAGAACACTACATAATCTGTGACATCAGATGAACACCGACAATAAACGGAACAACAACGGTTGACAAAACGATATTCAGGACAGAATAATGACGTCATGTCACCAAACTATAAAATGACGCTTAAATGTTTCAAACCTTTCTTGAAGTCTCAATTACTTGTCAAATTCTGGATACGGTACCATGACAGCCATCTTGTCACATTATTCTGACACGGTAACCATAGCAGCCCATCTGGTCATACTATACTGACAACAGGCTATAATCAGTCCTACAAGTAAGAGTGTGTACTAATTTTAAGTCTTTGTTTATTTCTAAGTCAGGAGTCGAAGCCTGTAACCTTCATCGCTTGGGTTTTGAAAATCATGATCTCATTTCGATAGATCAGCAATGGAAACTCGTAGTATGCGTTGATATGTTTCATAGATATAACATTTAATATGCCTTCAAGTCACTTATTTATTGCGTGGATGTACAAAATGTGCACACCTGCCTTTGATTCGCACACTAGTAGATGTATCAATCGTCAGTCCCCGCACTGTAAACTCGTGCAACATGCCATATCAGATAAGGATAAGGAAGTGTGCAGTATTACTTATGTGTCGTGTTTACAACTTGAATCAGCTTTTTGTTATTACGTTATTTAAAAACAATTTCAAAACTAAAACTTCTTTACAAATATAAACATTCATAAATGTCTGAAACAAAGATTCCGACATAAGCCGCCTATTTGAAACATGTGTTTAACAGCAAAATACATTCTATGTTTAAAAGACAATTTGAAATCAATAGTATACCCTGTATGAACTGTACTTGCAGTAAATGAACTCTCCAGATAGTATTCGCATACAAACTGACGGGTAAATTCAATATTGACTTTAAGGCTATCGGAGTTTTATTTTCTCATATAAATGATACCGTCACTAATCTGTGGGTGATGTTAAATGTCCCACTGTTTACATGGTCATGTAGACATTTAAACTCTTTGTATGTACTTCTTTGTCGCAAAGCCTTTTGGTGTATTGTTTAAACCATGGCATGGTGGTCAATACTGTTGAGATCGGCCTTATATGTGGAACACATCACTAAAGTTTGGAAAATTAACTACCTTTCTGTATGGGGAGTATTCTCGATGTGGGACACAAAGACGACTACTTACAGATAAAAGCATACATTATAAACATATATTTCTTATCTAAATAAGCGAGAATATAACCCTACATTAGCGATGCAGTTATCAGTAAAATGACGCTTCTTGAAAGGAAAATATATTACGTCAATCAATTGATCTTGCTTTAAAATTATAATATCTCGTAACCTTGCAAAATTTGTATGTGCAATTTGTCGATCGAAGATATAAATTTGCTCTCTAAATTACAACATTCCGCCAAGACAACCACTTTGTAAGCCTCATGTTCTGATTAAATGTATTTCTAGATGCAACAGGGGCAGCAGATACAACAGAGTAACACAAACAGGGGACATTTCCACGACGCCAAGTCACAGGAAAATAAGCAGGAACATTATTCCGACAATGGTAAGTACCCAACCCAGACACAGGTATGGTGACAGAATATTAAAACATGTTTAAGGTATAATGCCAGAGCGATCATTATTGTATCTCCAACAAAGAAGAGTTTTATATCATTCGGCCATTTCTGAACTTTGAGTTGCTTGCTCAGTTACTATAACAAAAGGTAAAATACGACAAATATTGTTTATATTATTAAATAATATGTCCTATTTTACAGCTAATATTTCAGATTAAAACACATACCGTAAAACCTGGCTATTCTGCTACCATTAGCCACATTAGATGTTGTCTTTTTTAAAGACGTTTGACAATATATCGTTGAAGACATACAAAGGTATCCATTAAAAAAGAAAAAACAAGCAAAGATATGCTGGCGTTAAGCGGGGTGGTAAATTAAACGATAGGCATTATATATCGAGGATTTACTTATATTAAAGTAATTACTATAACTATTAATAAAAACAATCTTTTAAAAAAACTTATATATATTGGCTCTGCTATTACAGACGATATCCGGACCTTTTTTATTACAAAGCAGAGAACTTTTGTGATATTATCGGGGATAATTAAAGAAAATGTTAACTTGCTAAAAGTAATTTTATCTGTAATGTCCTATGTGCGAATATGAAAAATAACATAAACAAGAGAAAAACACATCTTTTGAGCCTAATTCAGATTTAAAAAGGGTTGGGGAACTCCACCTTTAGGTAAATCATTTGTTAAAATAACAACACACTGTCACAACATTAACGTTTCCCTATAGGGATGTTTTTTTCACGCTGAAACATATAAAATAAACAAAAGCTACCGGACACCAAATCGTTTGATGAAAATCACTAAGTGACAGATGCCAAATGACTGTCATACAACTTCGAGGGAACGAAGGCGATCAGTAATATAAGTTAACAATCGGAGGTCATGGCAGTCACTTTGGATTTTAACAAGAACACGTTTATGAGAAGCCGGGCCAAGTTCTATTCCTGGAAACAGTGCTCATGGTTGGTTTAAGCATATCAGAGTGTAACTTTGGGCTTTTACCAACACAGATTGTAAAAGTATAAACATCAAATTAGTATCAATACATTAAAATTGTATATGACCTGCATTTCACCTTACTAATGTTTTGTATTGGATTTCATCTTCCTTAAAATGTTATAAAACAATACAACATAATGAGAGCATGTGTTTCGAGGACTTTTAGTGATTTGATTGTCATCGAATAATAATGTGACCCGTTTATGCTAGACATTAACTTGTATCGTATGTGACATTGTTGTTCGCTGGATATATAATGATAGACATATATTTTATCCACCTCATCTTTCAGATTTACGAGACTTGGTGGACAGTTTTGGGAGGAACAGGGAAGGGAAAATGGTAATAAAAGAACTTCGCATGTGCTTCAATTTACTTGGATTAAACCCACACGAATCTGAACTCCGAGAAACCTTGACCATACTGACACACGAAAAAAATGGTAACGTATTCTTTCAGAAACATAGTAATTTCTTTCCCAGGAAAATGGCTAAGTGTTCCCACAGGAAAATGGTAAAGTGTTCGCAACGGAAAATGATAACATGTTCTTATAGGAAAATGGTAAAATGTTCTTAACGGGAAATGGTAAAGTGTTCCCACAGGAAAATGGTAAAGTGTTCTCAAAGGAAAACTGAAAGATGTTTTTTCTACAAATTGACAACAAAACAATTAACCATCACTCGTACCTCGGGGTTCTTCAAATTCTGACAGGCTATTTTTGTGAGACTTGTAATGTGTTTTATTTTTATTTTTGTTGTTCTTCAAATGATAGACTTTTTCTCAGATTAAATACTTAAAATCATGAAATTTATATTTCCTACTCTTTGCAATCAAAATGTGATGACTGTATCTTCAATTTAAAAAATGTATATACATAATGTATACATTTAAACTAAGTATAAGGATACTTTCAGTGTAGTTACCTTTTTGGCATAATGATAATTTAATAAAATGTATTATTGTCAAACTTTGGGGAAGCTTTTTATCATATTGGTTGACTATATACAGTATAGAAAACACATGTGTGTAATATATCACTTATGAGAATGTCTCAAATGTCCTCCTTACAGATGGTATAGTCCAAACGGAAGACTTTGTAGTGTTGATGCGGTCGAAACTCGGACCGGACGAGTTGAGTAAGGAAGAACTCCAGGAAGCGTTCGCCCAGTTCGACGAGGACGGTAGTGGTGCCATTAGTCCGGATGAGCTGCGACAGATCCTCGCGGCCTCTTCACTCTCCGAGGAACAGGTTGATCAGCTGATCATTGACGCCGACACTGATGGCGACGGCGAGATCGACTTTGATGGTAGGTATCAATTAATCCTGGTCACGGTAAATCATGCAGTGTTGGCAAATGCTTATATCCGTATAGTCGTGTTTTTATTTGAGAGAATTCGAATTGCGTTTATTCTATTATTTAGCATTATTTTATCAAAATGATTATTTTGGTAATGCCTTTTTAATATGCATATTTAAGACAATTATCACTGTAACACGATTATCAGTTTGACGCAATTGCCATTGTAACACGTGTATCAGTATAACAAGATTATCATTGTAACACAATTGCCATTGAAATACGATTGTCATTATAACACGATTATCAATGTTACATTATTGTCATTGTATAACGATTGTAAGTGTTACACGATTGTAAGTGTCACACAATGGTCGATGTATCACGATTGGCAGTGTGACATGATTGACAGTAAACAGCGACTTAAAAAATTGTAAATATGTATACGAAATTGTTTTATAGTTTGTAATTTTGATGTCCCCTATTTTACAGCTAATATTTCAGATTTTAACACATACCATAAAACCTTGTTATTCTGCTACCATTATCCACGTTAAATGTTGTCTTATTTAAAGACGTTTGACAAAATATCGTTGGAGACATACAAAGGTATCCACTAAAAAACAAAAACAAGCAAAGAGATGTTGGCGTTAAGCGAGGTGATTGATTAAACGGTAGGCATTATATCGAGGTTTTACTCTTTTTTATCCAGCTTATTTTGATTTGATTGAACGATTGATCTTATTAAGTGGATGGAATTGGGTGGAATAAACGAAATGTATACATTGAAACCAATTGGTTTGACAGCAACAAACACGGGACAGTGTGGAAAGAAACATTAGTGGTATACCAATACGCGGACTGTGTGACAATAGTATTAATCACAATGTTACATAAATATAACTGTAAAAGTAAAAAAAAAAATGGCGTGGAAGTCTTCGCTTATTTTGAAAATATATTGCGTTATTTCCAACACGAAAACATCGACCTACTTTAATACATATAGCATCATTACCGCATAATTGTTTCAAGTGTTACAATGAACAAAATTACAGCGAACGAAGTGTTTTAAGCTTTGTAATAACAAATAAACTACAGGAACGCAAATATATCGTAGCGTGCACACTGTATTGTATGACAAAAGCAGCAACAAAATAGAAGTTTTCTGCTGTTGACTTAAGCTGACAACATTTGAGCTTAGTCTCATTGCAAAAACATGTTTCTGATCAGTTAACATGTCAACTGCCTTGACAACTGTTGTGTAGGATTATTTTTTTAACACGTTAGTTAGAATGTAAAAGCATGTTAAATACTTTGACTGTTATTATGGGATGTATGCTAACATATGTTTTTTGTCACTGCTAATAACATGTATTACTCTATTATCACTACATTGTTACCATTTATTCCAGAATTTTACACCTTATTCACGACGATGATGTGATGATAGGGAGACTCAAATTTGTGGTACATTGTCATTTTATATCGTTGTTTTTGTCACAACATGTGTTACATATTTTAAACACATTTTTGTCTTTCTCATTTCATATATCCATCGTTCTACCTTCTCTGGATAAAATCATCAAAACGTAGTAAATTATTAATGCTAGTTATATTACCCTAATGCGAATCCATAAAATAATCGGTAACATTTTAACAACGAAATTAATTTCAATTTTAATAATACGTAATATTTTAATTGTTTTTTTTAAAAGGATATTTTGTTTTTGGATTACTGTATTTTAAACCTAAAGATCTGCACATTGTATTCGTGTACAAACATATATTAAGAACTATCTCATGTTCTCTATTATCTAAAGCCTTATATTTATATCACTACTTCCATCAATTTGAAATTGATTCCAAATTCTTAATTCTGATATTTTTGTTCCGTAAATACGAAGCAAAATACATAAGTTTAGGTATTTCAATAACATTAATAATTTTTGTAAAAATCTGTTTCCATGTAGCATCCTATCAATCAAGTATGCTTTCATATTTGTATGTTTAAAAAATTATCAATAATCCTTGATAACTTTAGATCTATAATGTTATCTTCAATTTGAAAGGACTGTGCCACAATGTTTTTTTTAAAAAACAACGGTATACATTTAGGACCTATTTTCGTTATAAAAACATATTTCTCGGGATGGGCATCGACCTACATTACCCCCAGCATTGGTATCAGGTAACCACAAAGAGTTGTTCCTCCAACCCCAAACCATTACCCCCAGCTTGGTATCAGCCACAAAGAGTTGTTCCTCCAACCCCACATCATTACCCCCAGCTTGGATCAGCCACAAAGAGTTGTTCCTCCAACCCCACATCATTACCTCCAGCTTGGTATCAGCTAACACAAAGAGTTGTTCATCCAACCCCAAACCATTCCCCCTAGCATTGGTATCAGCTAACACAGAGTTGTTCATCCAACCCCAAACCATTACCCCTAGCGTTGGTATCAGCTAATACAAAGAGTTGTTCCTCCAACCCCAAACCATTACCCCCAGCTTGGCATCAGCCACAAAGAGTTGTTCCTCCAACCCCACATCATTACCTCCAGCTTGGAATCAGCTAACACAAAGAGTTGTTCATCCAACCCAAAGCCATTACCCCTAGCATTGGTATCAGCTAACACAAAGAGTTGTTCATCCAACCCAAAACCATTACCCCTAGCATTGGTATCAGCTAACACAAAGAGTTGTTCATCCAACCCAAAACCATTACCCCTAGCATTGGTATCAGCTAATACAAAGAGTTGTTCATCCAACCCCAAACCATTCCCCCTAGCATTGGTATCAGCTAATACAAAGAGTTGTTCCTCCAACCCCAAACCATTACCCCCAGCTTGGCATCAGCCACAAAGAGTTGTTCCTCCAACCCCACATCATTCCCTCCAGCTTGGTATCAGCTAACACAAAGAGTTGTTCCTCCAACCCCAAACCATTACCCCCAGCTTGGCATCAGCCACAAAGAGTTGTTCCTCCAACCCCACATCATTACCCCCAGCTTGGATCAGCCACAAAGAGTTGTTCCTCCAACCCCACATCATTACCCCCATCTTGGATCAGCCACAAAGAGTTGTTCCTCCAACCCCACATCATTACCCCCATCTTGGATCAGCCACAAAGAGTTGTTCCTCCAACCCCACATCATTACCCCCATCTTGGATCAGCCACAAAGAGTTGTTCCTCCAACCCCACAACATTACCTCCAGCTTGGTATCAGCTAACACAAAGAGTTGTTCCTCCAACCCCAAACCATTACCACCAGCATTGGTATCAGCTAACACAAAGAGTTGGTCATCCAACCCCAAACCATTACCCCTAGCGTTGGTATCAGCTAATACAAAGAGTTGTTCATCCAACCCCAAACCATTCCCCCTAGCATTGGTATCAGCTAACACAAAGAGTTGTTTCTCCAACCCCAAACCATTACCCCCAGCATTGGTATCAGCTAACCACAAAGAGTTGCTACTCCATCAATACTCCCTTCATTTTAAAAGCGTTGTAGATGTTGTTTTGTATTCTATAGTAAACATTTTCCACCCAAAATGTTTTAGTCTGTAACATGAGTGTATTGATCAACTACTAACGATTACAATATAGTATAAATAATACTATCTGGATTCTATATTATCTTTACGTATTTTAAAAATGATTTTGAATATCAAATATTTCCTTTTCTCCATTAGTCATCTGTCAAATTAACATATCTTCTGTAGTGACCTATTATTATATGGAGTAATCCTTTATAAAAAAAGAATTGTAAATTCCTTTTCATATTGTTAGACCACTATATTGGAATTTTATCAAAATGATTTCATTTTAGTCAACTGTCAAGATGTCAGATTTTTCTATAGGGATTTGAATGAATATCAGGTGATACCTTTTCTCTGTACATAATCTGTCAAACTTTCAGATTTTTGTAGAGATTTGGTTGAATATAGAATCACGCTTTTTCCAACATACAGCCTGCTGTAGTATACGATTTGTATAGGGATTTCCTTAAATATCGGGCTATCCGTTTTCCACCAACACAAGTCATCTGACAAACTCTTATTTCAATGTATATCTAGATACAAAGTTCAGTAGATCTTGCTTTACTGCGATAAAACATTTTTTCTTAAAATATCACAATGCGTTCTGACATCGATCCAAAGTAATATTTTGCTGAAACTTTTATTCAAATTGTTTTATGATAATTATATTCGTATTCACTTCTGGGTATTGTTATTGTTTTTAAATGTTTGGGCAGGTTGTATATAATAATGGAAGTAGATATCAAATATTTTATTAATACGAAAACAAATGTACTATAATTATAAGCAAATCCACATTTTCTTGTTTCTAAAATTTCAGTTATCAAGTTTAGGTGCATCCATATACCCAGTTATATATTCTGTTATTTTACCAGCAATAACGAATATGTTTTCCCCTGCAATGAAAAAATAATCAAACACAGAAATGAAAGTTTTTTTAAAATACTAACCTACCTTTCCGTATTACACAATACTGATTCGTAACCAAGATATTAAACATTTACTTACCTACACAACAATTCATGTTCAATAGTAAATTATTATTTATCAATATTTATTCTCATCATTTCAAAAGTCAAAAGAAATATTTCAAAATCTTGCTTAACAAACCAGAAATGGGCATGTTAAAATCAACTTTAATCAATACATTGTATCTTGATTGTGAGATAAAAATTCGAAAAAGAAGTAGTTAATGCCAATTTTTATTAATTTTGGAACATTTTTTTTTTTTTTTAATTATTGCTAACAGGACAAACAATATATAAAGTCACGGTAAATACAATTTTTGAGGAATTCTCAGGAGCTTACTACTAGTCCTATGCCACCTGGCTAATATCTCCATATGTGTATATGCCTGCGTGTGTGCTGGAGACGTATCACAATTCCATATCCTAGTTTTAAACATGTTACTTGTGCAATGCATAGAACTCTATAGAACGACTGATGTCGTTTTGCTTGTTTTGTATTCCAATTGTGTGCCTTATACTGCTACTATATACAGAAAAAAGGCGCTTCTTATAAGCACATTCAGGATATTTATATATACATGTAGCTATATACCATAAATATTTGTTTATCAATAATTCAAATGTAAACGAGTTCTCGTACATGTATAAATGTATCGCCCTTTCTTTAAAACCCTATGTCTATCTTGACAAGGGAAGTTACTCCAAGCCAGGAAAACTCAAATGGGGGTTGTTTCTTCTTCTATATAAAAGGGAGAATACTCAAAACTCAAAACAGAAATAAAAACAAGATCACTTCCTTGCGATTATAAAAAAAAATGAAGTGATATAATTCTGCAGTATGCTCCATGTTGATTTGATGAAAGAATGAGTCTTTTATTGGTGTTCGTTGTATAAATATGTTCCCCGAAGCGCGTCGTTTTTCTGTTATAGATAGCGTCGTCCCTACGTTCTATGTTTACATTCTTTCTGTTTTGTTTTGGTATCGTGGCAAATTTATTATTCGTTTATATTTCTACCTACTTCGCTTCAAATTGTGTATATTAAACAAGAAAGGGAAAGTCAACTATATTATATTGTTTCTACAATAAGGAAACCATGAAATACGAACAGACCACAGCTAAATATATCTTTTAATATCAGGTGTAAAATAGTGCTATGACTAGAACAGAAATTTTAATCATTGTCTTTGTTTTCTTTTTTTCAGAATTCTATACCTTATTTACAACTATGATGGGATAAAACGACTGACGGAATATTACCTACCGTTCCTAAGACATCAGTGGGGGTCGTCTGACGTCAACATCTCGAACTTTAATGCCGATCATGTGTTAACGTAAATTGACAATCTGTGATAAAGAGGGTATTTTTCTAATCTTTGATTATTGAAAAAACCTCATTGATTTAATTGATGTGCTATATTTTTTTTTTCAATTTTTTTTTTTTTTATGTTATGTTTATTTTCGTAAATGTTCGACAATTTGTGATAAAAAGTGCATTGTTCTAATCTGGGAACATTAAAATACTCATTTACCTGTTTTTTGTATATGTGCTAGTTTATCTATGTTTTGATGTTTTAGAGATATGTTTTTCAATTGATTTGTCTAGTAACCCTGTCTACATATTTGCATTGCAACGATATTTTATAACGCTATCAAATCGAAAACAACAAAAAGGATTTTATCCTGTTTGGTCAAGTGAATTTGGGCTTACAAAGCTGCTAATTTAATGAATTTATTATGTTTCGGAACACGTTGTAAATGAATTCTCTTAATTTTTGCAACTTATGAATCCTGAATAAATTGCCATATGATACAGTAATATACATGTAGTTTTTGTTTTTCTTTGTTTATCGTATTAAAAAATTACTAAATTTTCAAAATAAGTGGTCCTAGCGACTATCTTAGTTTTACCTTTAAACCAACTTGAATTCATCACCCAGTTAACTACATTATAGCTCGATGCAGCCTTTATGTTTCCAAGGCAAAATGGTAATTTGAACCCTGCTAACCCTGTAACATTCCTAATTCACTGTTTACGTTACTGACATGATGCATTGCTGACGTGACGTCATTGTATAGTTTTCGTGACGTCATACAATTGTTATGACTCGGGATTCCCCCGTCTCCACCCAAGGTTGAGAATAATAGTTTATCATCTACACACTACTTTATACCACCTATCAGTAGCATGATAAAATCATTATCATTGGTTGTCAGTATGAGAAGAAGTTAAGAACGACTTAAGAAGAACTTGAGAACGGATTTTATTTTCTCAAAAAAGGACGTCTGCTCGAGTCAGATGTCGTCCAAAACGGAAATAGTGTCCACACGAAAGTTATCCGCGGAAGTAAAAAGTCCGTCATAAATATATCAATACAAAGTTGCGGGAAAATATTGTGAGAATAACAACACTCTTCGTAGTGTTATGGTTCATTGTATTCCTCCGCGCAAAACTTCTTTTTGTTACCCTTTGTTACAGGCGATCGTTCACCATTGAACTTAGAAGTCATTTGGAAAACATGGTGTTTAGTTGACTTTTTTAAATGGAGAAATATATAAGGTGCAGTGTCCATCTGCGGTGGCCTCTCGATTTTACCCATGTGCTCGCGATGAGAAAATTGTTCTCACGACAAACCTTGAAAATACAGTGTGATAAGCTATAAATCTCTCACTATCTTGGTGGTTGGATAGGGGATCCTCAACCCAAAGGGGAAGATTCTTAAGTTGCCAAACACGAGGCTTTGTCGAGTGTTTAGCAGTTTAAGTATCTTTCCCTGAGAGTAAAGATAAGGGTATCTCACATCGGGCAAATTGTAGATACAATTGTGCAAGGTAAGATGTACGTGTATACAGCATGAGTGAACTCAGTGACCTGTACTATCATGACGTGTAGAATTGGGGTCAGATCCGAGTCTTTTCCAAGGTTCCTACACTTTATTCTTCATCCTAGGTAAGGATATCCATACCTTACTTACCAGTATAGGATGGTAGACTATTAACAGGTATAGTTTACTTTCATAAATTATTTATCAAAGATTTTGTCATGCAGGAAAAAAGACGTTTTTCAATTTGTTTGGCTGTCGTACGGAGATCCATAAATAATACACATTTCGAATGTAATGAGCAAATATGTTAACTATATATGGGATAAGTGGTGTAAAATTGGCTGATCTGCTTTAAATGACGTTTACTTCTACCCTATTGGGCAGATTCCAATTACATTGTAGTGGAAGCATGCTTAGTCAATAGGGATTAAAAGTTACTGGGGGCCGAGATCAAAAGCGACCAAATTGGAAGATTTATTTTAAATGACATCTTTTCCCAAACTACTGGGCACATTTTAACAAAATTGTACTGTTACGTATCCATAGTCTTTACAAATTTAAGAAAAATTAAAACAACTAAGTTCGTGTACTTTAGAGGGCTGTCGTTCTAAACTGCTGGACAGATAGAACTTGATTTCCAAAATTGCCAGATACATTTAATGTGTAAGCCATTCAGAGCCTGTTGACTTCTCGGTTTTTTTGAAAGAGCTAGGAGTTATTCCCCTTCTACCCTGAATACCAATGCTACTATTTAGCTATCATCGGCCTTCCAAAAGAAACATGTTGGTATTTATAGGATATTTGTCGTATAGCAGGCGAGCACGGTAATGGTAATTATCTTCAACACACTCCATATTAAGTCGGTAGCATTTAAACGCATTCTTTCCCAATTGATTCGTATTGATAAGATATTTTGACAAAGCATTAAAGTCGGTAACGGCTGGGACGAGTTCTTCAATGTATGGTTAGCTTAGCGACAACTTAACGCCATTTTTCCAGTTCTTTGATATTAAGATATGTTAAAATTCAGAGCTTAAACTGTATCTTGAAGATATAAAGATAACACCATGAAATACTACTAAACAAAAAAATATTTGAAGGATTTCAAATATTTCACAAAAGTGTAACTTTTATCGAAAAAAAAGGAAGCCTAATTGGGCTTTGACCGACCGGGCGTTTGTTGCCATCATTCTCGGAGTTTTTGGATCTGTTATAATTTTATCTGATTATTGATATTTCACAAAAGCGTGATCATGAGTATGTAGGATACAAGTAGGTGTTGCTAGGTACATTATGTACAGTATGTTAAGTGGGTAGACAAAATACTGGTACTGGTAGTGCGTGTACGTGTCATTGTGAGCCTAAAGGCGATTTCGTGTAGGTACATACACGTATACGAGTATATATGTACACGTACGCATAATACCGTATGTGTGCGATACCAGTAGTTCCTCTAAGGGCTAATTCAAAAAGTAACCTAACCAGAACAATAATCCCAAAATATTTACTCTAACTATAGCTTGATAATTGTTAACTGCAGTGTACCTTTCTTAACCTGGGTCTGCATATACGCGTAGTTCAATATATATCGATATATTTATATGAATATTAAATCTTTAAACAGATATTTATATACTGGATCGTTTCATCATAGAGTGTCATAAGTGTTACGTTCTTAAGGGTCCCTGCTCTGTGTTTTCGTATTTATAGTTACTTCCCCTTAATTTCGTTTTGGATGTTACTCTAGCATTCGTTGACTAGGAATCTCAGACGGTTGAAGCAGTAGTAAAACAATAAAACAATAAGTCCAGGACTCGAATCTCCCACTATCTCTTTCTACACTGAGATCAAAGTTGTTGATTATATTTTGTTAATGTCGTCTTCATTAGTTTTGCCAAAAATAGGCGCGCTGAATAGGGTTTCTTTAGAAATGATAGATTAAATCTAGAGTATTGCCGGATAAAACAAACAGTTTCTAATGGGCAGTTACAGTTTTTGGGGTAACAGTGGTATGAGGATCGTTGAAGGCCAAACAAAACGTAAGAGGTCATTAGGGTCAACAAAATCCAGGAATTATAGCGTAAATATCTGAGCTTCAATGTGTTGAGTAAGTGTCAATTATCGGTATAATTGGAAACAAACGAGAAACATCGTTTTGCGGATATATTTTTTTCATAAAATCTTAAGAACTGCTGTATTGTTCGAAAAATATGTTATGTGGAGGATTATATAAAACGTGCACTGCAACAAGATTTCTTTAAAATATTGACGAGTTAATATATCCTTACGATACATAATGCTGTCTTACCATCGAAACAATAAGTTTTAGAAGTACATATAGTACCGAAATATTCATTATGATAAATTATTTCCACAAATAGAAGACCAATATGCTCCTTTCTGAGTCTATACCTGTTTTATAAACCTAACTAGCTTAATAACTTGTTATCAGACATTGTCATCTTTTGTATATTCTGATAATGAGACAATATCAGTAGAAAAGTTTGACTTTTCACAAGAGCAGCACCTTCACAACCAACATATTGCATGTATGTATAAAGACTTCTAAAGAAGATTGAATTCATGAAACTATGGTAAGAAGCTAACAAAACATTTCCAATTTTGACAAAAGACCACCCTACCCGTTGTATGGGCTCATTTATTGATATACCATCAGCTTGACAAAGTATCCAAGCAAACATATTACTAATATTCTCATTAAAAATGAAACGAATAACACCATTTTTTGATATTAAAACAAGTTTTAATGAAACAAATACCTGAAAATTATGAGACATTTTTATGTTGAAAGAACATGGAACAAATAGGGTTGAATATTAAAAATGTTCCTGGCTCTAACTGTCCTTTGAACACGCCGATACGGAGTGGTGCCGATACGGGCCTGAGACAATGACTGACAGACAGGTATTGAACACGTCAAAAGGATTCTACTATAAAGTAAGAGATACAATCTAAATCCGGACAATACACAAGGCGGTCGTGTTGATGAGGATATGTAAGATTATAAATCATAAAAATACTATTTTGAATTTATTGTTGGCCACATAGTGTGATTACGTGGCATTTTAATGACGTTTTATTTATTGTTTTTCAAATACCGTTATTGAGGGGTATTTCAAAACCCTTTTGATGTTGTTATCCAATAAATTACACACATCACGATTTTAATGAACATGATTCAGTCTTAGGTTTCAGTGGCTTTGTGATATAGGCCTATTCGTCAATTGTTTAAATAATCTTTTTAAAGCATTGGATGAAATGTTGGTGTGTTTTGTTATATCCTCTGACGATAATTTCTTTTCATTCGGAAAGAGATAATGAATATTCTATTTTAAGATTTAATATAGGTTTATACAAATATCAACACTCCTTTGGAAAAACATTTAGGCGATATTAAGGCAGCAAGTGAATGTATTTTTTTATATATAAAAAAAAATCTGAAAAAAAAGTCAAATCAAATCAATTGAAAAATAATTTGTTAAATTATTAAAGATAAAATAAACAATATATCCAAAAGATATAGATATAACAATGTATAGAAATATATTCACCAAATTGTACAGTCATGCATGATATCTTTTTGAAAATAATCAATCGCCATATATGCTTCCAATTTTAGTGAAAATTGATATTTGTTAAATTTAGAAGAAGAAAAAACCGGTTGAAATCATTCATGGTCAATTTGTTAAGCTTGCCATACTTTAGACGCGGTGTTCTGCAGAGTTAGAGCTAGGAACATTTTTAAAAAATATTAAAACTCGAAAGACAATGTTACTTGCGTTGAATCGTTGAGGAAATAAGTAATTTATTTGTCAAAAACATGATCAGCTTAATGTGACATAAAAGTTCAACAAGTATCAATGAAATATTCAATATTAATTACTTTTTAAACGATATCACTTGTTGCAGTTTTAATATAATGCATACATATGACAGTGAACTTGAAAAATACTTGAATATATAGAAGTGTGAAAGAATAAAAAGGATAACAAAAGTGTGTTTATTATTTTTCAATACGACAATACTTTAGTCAGCATTTCTCCTAATGCTATAATCCGAAAACTGGATCGTTAAACTTTGAAGCTCGAAAACTTCAAATTTATCAGTTTGTTCTTCAGTTTTGAATTTAGAAGGAAACGTGTTCTTTTCAAAAACTGACTAGGCACGAAAGAACATTGAAATTTTATACTTTAATACATGTACATTTTAAACAACTTTGTACTTTTAAATATCTAACTTAAGTTAATTCAATGAGGTTGTTTATCCTTTATCTTGTAAACATTACCAAAAACTTAAACCCGTAATAAAGATCATTCAAAACCGGTGGTCCTTAAAATTTAATTGCAAACGTGTACAGGTGTAATTGTAGCTTAGCAGACAATGGCTACGAGCCTTCTGCGTTAAGACCACCGGGACAAAGCCTGCTATTGCATTTTGACAGGTGAATTGTTATCGAATGTTTACTCCAAAGTTCATCTTGCAGTTTAAAACAGTATCACAGATCAGATCATCTTTGGCTAAGTCAAAAACAATGAAACAATGACCCTCTCACACCTCTCTGTGGCATGAACGTGTCGGGATTTAGTCCAGAAAAACGAGTTCAAGACTATAACAGTGTTTTGCTGTACGTGCCGACGGACTTTGTGCGACGTTTATATGTTATGCTGGTATAAACCACGGTGCATTCGGTCATATAGACATGGTAAGTGTATATATTGTCTTTGTCTTAACATTTGATATATATCTTTGATTGCGTATTTTTTTTATTGGGATGTTACACCTGTCAGAGAAGAAATGGGTAGCAAGACTGTATTTAAATAACAGTTGTGTCGTCTGCATGCAGATTATTGTTTAAATACCTATCTTTAACTTAAGTATATATGCTACAATACTGTGAAATGTATTTCTATGTTAGAAGAGTTTAACAAAAAGTATTGCTTATAGATGGTAATGCTAGCTTATTTGATAGATTGATGGCACACTTGAAATGAACATGTATACAGAAAAGATAAGAATGAAGTAGCTTGACATTACAGCTAGTAATACCTGCATGACCTGTGTTATAAATGTAGAGAATAAAGCAAACAGCAATCAAAACGTTTAAGGTAGCATATAGCCTTAATTAATATTACAAATCATAGGTATAATGTAAGGTAGCATATAGCCTTAACTCTATTACAAATCATAGGTATAATGTGAGGTAGCATATAGCCTTAATTAATATTACAAATCAAAGGTATAATGTAAGGTAGTATATAGCCTTAACTCTATTACAAATCATAGGTATAATGTGAGGTAGCATATAGCCTTAATTTATATTACAAAAACATAGGTATAATGTGTAAGGTAGCATATAGCCTTAACTCTATTACAAATCATAGGTAAAAAGTAAGGTAGCATATAGCCTTAACTCTATTACAAATCATAGGTGTAATGTGTAAGGTAGCATATAGTCTTAATTAAATATTACAAATCATAGGTATAATGTAAGGTAGCATATAGCCTTAATTAATATTACAATTCAAAGGTATAATGTGTAAGGTAGCATATAGCGTTAACTCTATTACAAATCATAGGTATAAGGTAAGGTAGCATATAGCCTTAACTCTATTACAAGTCATAGGTATAATGCGTTTGGTAGCATATCATGTAACGTACATCGGTTCACAAGTTTACCTAAACACAAATCACAAGTACATATAAATTGTATAAGGTAGCATATAATCTTTACTCTAACACAAATCACAGGTACATGTAAATTGTATAAGATATCATATAACATTAATTTCTAACATAAATAACCGGTACATGTAAATTGTATAGGGTAGCATATAATCTTAACTCTAACACAAATCACAGGTACATGTAAATTGTATAAGATATCATATAACATTAACTTTTAACACAAATAACCGGTGCATGTAAATTGTATAAGGTAGCATATAACCTTTACTCTAACACAAATCACAGGTGCGTGTTAATCGTATAAGGTAGCATATCACTTTCACTTTAACACAAATAACCGATACATGTAAATTGTATAAGGTAGCATATAACCTTAACTCTAACACAAATCACAGGTGCATGTTAATCGTATAAGGTAGCATATAACCTTAACTCTAACACAAATCACAAGTACATGTAAAATGTATAAGATAGCATATCACTTTAATTACTTTAACACAAATACCCGGTACATGTAAATTGTATAAGGTAGCATATAACCTTAATTTAAACACAGATCACAGGTATTATGTAGCATACAAATATTTACTCTAACACAAACCACAAGTATATAGAGGATATCTAACAGTGTCTTCAGTAATACCAAATATATTTCACGAGTGTGGCTAATATTTTTAAAATATCTTAGCCGCACGAGTGCAAGAGTCCCCGCTTTAATCGCATTTTACAACATAACACAGTTCGAATACAACATGAAACGTTTATAACAGGTTCAATGTACATGTATGTGTTTATACAACGGGATTTGTATGAGGGTCTATATTACAAAGGTTTCTATACTAAACAGTTTTTTAACAAAGAAATATTTACAGTGTATTTATATATGGATGTCGATGTAGGTTTTTAGATCTGGTTCTTACATGTATCAGCCAGACCAGAATGTCATGTTTTCGTAGATATAAAAGTATAATTTGTATCATCTTTGTGCAATAGAATGTCTAAAACTTGTTCTCCTTCGTTTGCGAGGACGAATCTTCAAGTTTCCGACCTACGCAAGTTATTTTTTTCACGTAGGTAAGTGTACTGAAAAAGACTGTAAACCAACGCAATCACATCCGGGTATAGCACGTTGTAGATTGGAACAGAGATACATTTGTAATGTTCGTAAAATATTTTTGTGTGGCGCAAAACGTAATCATACCACACGTTTATTGCGTAATATTGTATACTATGTAGGGTTTCATTATAAAACGTGACCGTCAAGTACATATGTACCTAAATCTAATTCGTATTGGTATTGTTTGTGTACAATTGGGGTTTGTTTGATTTTGTTTCAATAGACTTTTAAGAAATGCACACAATTTTATTTAATCTTGAGGTTTCCTTCCCTGAACGTAGAACTTCAAACAAACTGTATTTCTTCGCCGCTCCGGTCAGAATTGAATAAACAATCCTAATGTATTGAATAATAAAAGGTTTACTTGAGCGGATAAGGAGAACTGTTTACTCGTTTGTAGTAAGTATGAGATTAAAAGCTCTCCGTTAACAAGATACTTGCCCCATTGTCGGGATAAAATACAAGCTTCGTTCTGTTACATCATGTAATGTTATTATTACGTACGAATATAAATGAATAACTTCTGTCACTTTGCATTTATATAATTAACGATAGTGTTGATTGGCAATTATTGGAAACATGTTCTCATTAAATATGTATGTACCCTAATGCTGATAATATTTTCTCACAAAACTGAGACGGTTGTCATGGTTACTTTATAGACTCTTCCGGAACTGTCGGAAACGGAACTTGCGCGTAAGTATAAGTTTAGGCTTAGTGTCATATTTTCTTATTCAAGAGATGCAAGGTACGTTCGCTGTTAATTTCACAGTATCAAATCGCACAAATCAAAACATGGTATTTTCAAAACCTATTTACTAATTATGTCATTGAATATAAAGATGGATATCATAGTATTATTATTAATTTGAACAACTTGCTTCAAGTTATAAAATATCAGTTAATATGGCTATATTTTGCTTCATTCAAATTCGTGCAAATTACAAGTGATTTAAATATTTTATTTGTTTACAGGTTTACGCGAGACATTTAAGATGTTTGACCTTGATAACAGCGGCAAGGTTACAGCGGAGAACCTCACCCTGGTAATGCGGGCCTTAGGACAGAATCCCACAAAGGTGGAAGTGGAGGATCTGTTAAAAGACAAAGACATAGACGGTAAGTTTTCGACCGGAAGTAACGTCTTTTTAAACTTAACTCCCCCGTTTGCCTTCCGGTAATGAAAGACTAGATATTAAGGATCTCTGTCCCATGACACCGTGGTATTTCGTATGTACAGTAACCTGTCCATATTTTTTTTTTTTTTTTTTTTGATAAATGTATAACTGTATTACAGTTGGGTCAGGGCACGTTCGTTGATAAGATAGCTTAGTCGGTTAGAAAGGTCCCACTGAATTTTTACACATATTTGCTGATTATTTGTTGTCTATTTCGTCTTTATATTTTTTTCATGAAAGACCCGCAAGATATGGCTTTCTTTTCAGCATTAATTTACCAAAGCTGTAGTCATGCCGGGACAGACAGTTTCCAATGCTCAGTTACAGTTTCTGACAGTGGTACAGGGATCCTTAAAGAATGAACAATGTCGAAACTGCCACTAACGAGACAGAGTGTGATAAAGGAACATTATTAATACGACCAACAGTTCTTTTAGAATATGATTTAAAAATAAAAGAAAAAAAAACAAAGTTTTCTTCTGGAAGTATCAATTCTGTTACTTTAACTAACTCGTAATCCTGATTAAGCATCTTGCTTCGTTTTACAAACGGACGAATGGTTCGTGACTAGATCATTTCTTCACAGTCAAGTGTGTTGCACGAGTGGGGCTCGTGTTTACCACTTACATTGTATAACTGTACCAAACATTGTACAGCTATCTACAATATTTATGGGATCTACAGAAACATTCGAAAGTACAATGAAGGAACTGAATTTATCTTTCCTATATTGATAGAATTATAAGTCTCACTCGTATCTGTTGTTTAGCAGACGCACGCACGGATACAGAAAACAACCACATTTATGATAAAGAAAGTGAAAAAAGTTTACCTAACAAACCAATTTAAGTGAAGTCTGGCTTTTTCCCCATGGTGTAGCTGTACTCAGTGTTAGATCGTAATATCGATACTAGGACAACGTCGGTGCCGAGTTGACCAATTTAATTTAATCACAGACCGCAAAACTTGGCAGAGTGTACATATATATATATCTATTGTAAATACATATAGATAAGACTGACATATGTCTACGTTCACGTTCCGTATCGTTTGGCAAGTCAACTTAGCGTAAAACCTCGCTGTAGTCCAAAGTTTCTATTTTCAATTTGCCACCTGGGTAGCCATGCACCATTGTACTTCAATATTTAATTTTGTTTACATCTTTTTACTTTTTTATCAACTGCTTTACTCGAACCTCTCGATATTTCGTCAAACCCCGTTATAAAGTCAAAACTTGTTTTCGTAAATAATGGCAGTATAACGCGTTTTACTACACATTGAATCAAAGATAATCATTCCATAGAATGCCCTTAAGGGGACGTCGTACAGTCTCTTGTTATTCTACAAAGTTTGACCTATTGATTTTTTTCCCCTTTTACTACATTTTAATAATACACAATATAAGGTTGTTGTTTTTTAATTTGGTAAGAATACAATTTGGTCAATATCGATCTTTAGTGGGCATCAACATTCGAGACGTATACCAATACTCGACCTTGCCAGCCATCGGGCTTATAGTACCATATCAGGTTGTGGAAAGTGTGTATATAATTCTCTGTATGCCAAATAATTGAAAACAATTAGAATGTTTATATACATGTTTAGATTGAATAAAAGTGACACGTTTCTGGACTTAATGAAAACTGTTTAACACCTAGAGAGAATATCAAGTGATATTAGTAGTGCGGTATGGAGGATTGTAACGGATCGAGTTATCTTCAAACTGTTGATTGCGACCTTTGACCTTTCACACTAATACTCGTCGGTGTAAATAACCTATTCATCATTTGGGGCTGTATAATTGACTTCACGGGGGTATCTTGGTGTACATAACACATATGCAAATTCCCTATAGAAAATTGGAACCCTAATTGGTTGCGCAGTCGAACAGAAATTGGGCCCCTTGGGATCTCAGGTACAATATTGTAACAGGCAATGCTGTTGTAACAAGGTGGTAATTGAGTAACGTTTTTGAAGCGCTAGTCTACTCATACGTTGTTTGTGATATATATATATATATTCATCTGGTTTGTACATTATATTTCTAAGCTGTGTAAGTGTAAATACAAGCGCGGTTACTATTTCTGATCCATACCCTATATTATATACGTCTATGCCTGTGATAATAAGTACAGTACTGGCCTGATGAACTTATGGAACGTCCGGATCCATCGTTCCGGAGTGTCATCTTTTCTTATTTGACAACTTGTTCATTTGGAATAGTTGAATCCCACGGAGACAACATCGCGGAGGGATACAGTGTTCCGTTCGTAGGCACTGACGTTCGTATTTACCATCAAACTACACTGTACATATAGCTTGCAATTTCATTTCTGAAAGCAGCTTCAAAAATAATCGCACCATACGGTCATACCATGGAATACAACTGGTTTATTCTTTCTCGCGCCCGTAAGACTTTAAAACTTCATTGTTTCTACAACTTTTGTAAGTTGAAACTTATATTATATATATATATATATATATATATACACCCACGAGACTGCTCACCTGTGTGTGTTTGTACTGTACCAAGCGATACCTGACAATATTCCTATCTACAGTACATGTAAGGTTTTCCCGGACTATAACTAGAATCCTTTTTTCACCTGGACAATAGATCTCTTCCTTAGTTCGAGCCAGACAATTAATCAATCGATATTCAAACCATCATTAATTAATCGCTTTATAAAACGTATGGTACCAGAATATTGACTGCACTCGGATCCATAGCGCTACAAAGACATGTACAGTCGACTTCATGCTCTGTAGAGACTGTGCTGAAATACATTTTACAATGAATAATGAAAACCGATGTGTAACAGCGACACAGAGGACGAACCATTGCTTCCTTCGCTTAAGTAACTGTTGCAAACAAATATACTCAAACATGTTCATGTATCGCTTCAAACCCTGTCAACATCAATCAATATCCATTTAAAAGTAAGTCCCAACTGGGTTCAAACGTGTACGGCGATGCCAGACCAAAATTCAAAGTAAATATTAGGAACCGAGTATCAAGTTTAGAGACTATTTTCCGTTGGTTAAATATTCGGTTCCAAGCTAATCATAATGGACATTGAATCACGGCTCTTTCCGTCAAAATTGTTAGTTTTTACCATACAAGATCAGGATAATGAATGATTTCAACATCTAGAACTTAGGATTTAACGGATCGAATGCAATGTTTAATGGTACATTATATTTGTGTGTCTCTATTTGCAGATACTTTTACAATGTGAATTAAACTTATGCAGCGTGTCGTCCCATTGGTTTTTTATGATATGCGAGAAACAGAATCTCGAACTCGTGACAAAAAAAAAGTATTGTGAGAATGAATCTAAATCATGTTCCCTATAAATACCAACGACAGTGGGATTTTCCGATTGGTTTGGTTTTATTTGGTTTAGCGTCATATTACCAATGCAACAGCTTATACCAGACCCGGTCAGATTATACTGATAACGGTTAACCAACTATTGTCATTACCCTAATGCTTAACGTTTAACAGAGAATGGCAACAACTGGTTTATCCGTTGACGTATAATGTGACCGGGCGGAATGCTGTGCTCGGTGCCTTCGGCATGGTATTTCAGTGAGATAGCACTATAATGTCTGATTCGCGCTATCACAAAGAGGCAAGCACACCAACATACCCTGTCTCCTGCATACATACACGCAAGCACGCATACACTACACACATAATGGTACGTCCTTAAATGACCTTACCTGTTATCAGGACGTTAAACAAAAATAAACAAAACCAAACCCGAGAATAACAACTACCATTTTTAAGGACTTTGGTATGCCCGGCCTGCAGACAGAATCCATTGCCTTGCCCGCGTGCAGGCGAACGTTCAACACTTAGGCGGACAGTGGATTTATCGCTTGGGATGAAGTAAGGAAATAAAATTCTTTAATTTAGGGAGTAAAGATAAAATGTAAGATTCACAATGTGCAATGGGTGCACTAGATATATATCGGTGACTTTTGTGTCTCGAAGTAAAGGGCCCAAAAGCAAACTCCCAGTTCTGCAGGGGGTTCCCACATTAGCCGCCTCTTACAACGGGCAGTGGCGAACGTCAGGTATATCATTTTCTCAATCTCCAGCCTGCAGTGGTGTCAGTCGGTCGTCAAGCAGCATTTTGATCTTTTTGCGCTGGCACGCCACAATCTTAGGATTGCATCCCATCGTCGGAGACAAATTATTTCCGACATCTGTACATGAACAGTGTTTTTTGAAATACTTGTACATTTTGTATACACATTTTTTTTTATCTAAATTTCTTCCTTTTATTCAGATTAGGCGTTATCAACATAGCTTTGGTCTTAAGTCATAAAAGACATGAACGCACAATTGATCACCACAAAATGACCGTGATTATTAGTCGGTACTTTATTCAGCGTACCTTAGTTTATACATATGTAGGTGTTTATATAAGGTAACTCTACTAAATTCTGGCCATATCTTCTGACCATGTGAAACATTTTTAATGTTCAATTGTGCTGACTTCAGCGTTTAGATTGCGTCTTTCTGTTACATGTTTACGTAAATCACCGACCCTACTACGACCCCTTAGAATGCCAGAGTATCGTGCCGAAATACCATCGCTTTACTGGCATGTCCCGCAACACAATAGACAGCGACGCTCCATACAGATCCCGTACACTCAAAAGGCCCATTAAAATAACGGCAAATATCAGTTTTATTGCCGCTTCAATCAACTTTATATGTTTTTAATTTTATTTATTGGACGGAATATAATTTTTTAATATAGAAGCATGTTAGATATAACATATGTTATCGGGTATCTACATTTCAAATGTTCTTGTAAGAATATTTTGTTGTTTGCTTTTTATTGTTCATTGGAAGCATCTGATAACAACCATATCACTGTGTTTTACAATGTATAATGTTTCATATCTCAAACCGAAGCATATTTCAAATATTACACATTCAGGATTTGTGAGAAGCATTGTGGTTTTTGACGCAATCAATTCACTAAATCATTATTAGACGTAATAAAAATTGAACAATATTTTTTCTTAATATTACAATTCGAAACATTCATACTAAAGCTTAAAAAGCTCCGTTTTAATTTGTTTACTAATTTGTTGCTAGGAGACGGAATGATCAACTTTGACGACTTTACAAAAATGATGAGAGTAAAGATGGCAACAACGGAGGTAGAAGCGGAACTAAGCCATGCGTTTAAAATGTTTGATAGAGACAATAGCGGCAAAATAAATTTCGAGGAGCTCCGAGTGGCGTTGACCTGTATCGGTGAGAAGCTTACAGACGACGAGGTCAAGGATATGCTCGCGGAGGCTGATAGGAATGGGGATGGCGAGATCGATTATGAAGGTAAAAGTACTCGACAGAAAATAGTCATTATTATGTACGACAAAAGGATAGAATTCCCACTGAATTGGCACGCATTAATTGCTTATTAATGAATGGAGAAAATAATTATGTTTGCCTCATAAAAAGCATTATATTTTACCTGTTTTTTCTTCCTTTGTATATATATATATCTTTTGATGTTTCAGATATATATAAGTTATGTGATGTCCTAAATCTAATATTGTCTTCGGTTGAGGATCCTATGCTATATTGGATTTATAGATTATCACACTGTGTTTCTCATCGAGAGCACGCGTATCCTTCGAGTGGCTACCGAAGGTGGACTTGAAATTATCCACGTGCTCTTGATGACTTATGCGATAAACTGTTTATTATCTACATGAATATATATACATATATTTCTACCTGAGATAGTCATCCATCGATAAAAAAGTCAACTAAATATCATATATTTTAGATGACTTCTAGGCTCAATGATCATCGAGACCCTCGGTCTGTGACGAACGTAAACAAACAGAAGATTTCCGCGGAAGAATACCATGAACCCTAAAACTATGTAGAAAGATATATATAAAACAATATTATCTTCATTGACTTTTCGATATGCAAGTTTTAAAAAATCATAATAATATATATCGGCATTGTTCTTATCTTTATTTCCTCCAAAAATAATCTGTATGCTTCACCGTGAACTATTTGATCTCGCTAATGAGACTAACGGCTAGTAAGCCTGTTTATTTTGATATTACTTCATCAATATTCATAGAATCATCAGTAAACCACTAGGGCTCGGCAATAGCGCTGCAACAGCCATAAGATAGTCGTTATGAGCATTATATTTTCCATACGGAAGTCTGTTTTATTCTTCGTTGCCGACGGTTTAAACTCACGAATTCCCTCTGGGTTCAGCGTGGCTCCTCAATACTGACAAAAAAGACAATGTCCAGTTTTCGCGCAATCTCCCTCGGGGCAGCACGTGCGCGATGATAATTGATCACATTAACTTACCAAAACAAAGAACTTACATTATTTAGCTGAAGTTTTGTCATCTACATTCGTTAGCTAAAACAAACAAATATATAAACAAAAATGAAGAAGAAAAAAAATTCAAATTAAGTATAGTTATTTATTAAAGTAACTCTAGACGTCATTTAATTGAGGTAAGGGATGCGTGCTTACACATGTAATTCCCATCAGACATATAATGAGCCTGTATTTATACCCCAGACAAGTAAGATGCACTGAGTCATCATTACATCGGAATCCTCATTATTCCTGGCTTTTTTTCCGGTCTCTGATTTTAATCAATGACGTGTAAGCTATACGGTATGGAGTGATATACAGATGACGTCTGAGATACTGGTGACGGGAACCAGGAGACGATGGTCGGAGAACGTGTTCTTCAATCTGACGCTTGTGTTTTATTTTTTTATGGATATTTTGCCCTGGTAGATTTTGCTAAAATGATGAAAGAATCAATCTTCTTTGACTCAATCTATTCGTTCCTCAACCAAAATAGCCATCTTAACACTATACCCTAACAAACAAACCTCACAATTTCCTTAAATGCATTAACCAATCTATCACTCCTCAGATATCCCAAGATACATGTACTACACAAAAACACGCATGCTCAATATATACAAATATACTTGCACATCTTCAAATGCCAAACTTTGGGATATCCGAGGAGTGAAATCCCTCATGATCACGTGTCCTTATACCAAAAAATAACTATATATTTCGTCCATTATTTCATATCTGTGATAATATATAAAAATATATTTATGTCCAATCTGCAAAATGTGATACATTGTATACGTGTTTAATTTGTCTTTTTCCTGAAGAAATATTATTATTATTATTATTATTATTATTATTATTATTATTATATCGTACATTAACAACATCACATCCTTATCTATCGGATACAGTGCCTTGATTTTCCTTGGGAAAAAGGACAATTATGTTCCAAAGAGGGTCAAGATACATCTATCATACATACAATTATTTACCTGTTTATTTACGTGTTAATAGTTATATATAACATTTTCGCAATCTAATTTGCCACTAAGATAGCAACAAAGGTGGCAAACAGAAGACTAAAATGTCGGTTGTAATATGCTGAAATGTCATTTGTATTTCTGTTTTGCTGCCACATATCTTTTTGAAGCTGAAAACCAAGGGGAGGGAACTCTAACACATTGTAACTGTACATGTAGTTTCATTCTCCTCCCTGCAGACGACCCGTGGCTGATGATGCGGCTCATTGCACTAATTGAAATATCTCCATCTCGTTAACCAGACCATAACGTGTCGGTTGAATGCCGAACACAATGTCAATTACCTGATAACAATCTGTCAATCACTCGCCCTTCAATGGATGACTTGCTGTTGTTACAATGCATTACGTGGTCATACATAATTTAGTGAGGGGGTTTCTCCACTGTGTATTGATATTTGTGTACAATTACGTCTTCTGTAATACGTGTAGCACCCATGTCCCGTACAATACTGGGAAGTATATAGTTTACCACAGATCGTATGTGACACACATGTGTCCTATTGGCTGAAATTCATTTTACTTCCAGATTTTGAAACAAAATGGCTAATTGCTATATTGTATGTACGTTTGTTTAAGCTGAATGTAATCGTAACCATACTGATTTCTTCTAGATAAATATTTTGTATATCTTCTACTCGTGAATATGGTCCATTTCTCTTCAAATTTTTTTTGATGTTCAGAATAAATATTGATTTCTTTATCTGTAAAAATGACGAAAACGATTGTGACTTGAAACAAAATATGCGACATTGATACAATTTTCACTATCGACAGACAACCTGAAAGGTAAAACGAATCATCGGCATTATGGATATGACATCAGGTTTGCAATCGATGCAACGACACTTTCCATTGATTTATGACCATGTATTATTGGACAATAGGACAAGCGCTAGCAGACCAAAAACTATCAAAAATCTTCCACGCAAAAATATTACAACCGAGCCACAGTTAGATGTTGTTTTTGAAGATTTCCTAACGGACGAAAACAAGTTTCTGTTTAAACTTTAAATCTGCTTTATACCTGACAAGCTTACGGTAATAAATGTTTGCTGAACCGCGAAATACGCTTTCAGTCCGTGACTGAACTTTTCGCAAAGGTGACTTGAAATCCTGTTTGTAAATCTGTAAAATTGCTGAATCCTTGCGTTGACGAGCGATGTCGATAGATCGTTGGTTTTGATTGATTGATGAAATAAACATTCGGTATATCGTCTGTCGATCAAATTGCGACTGAAACTAATGAATCATTCCCAAATGTAGGTTAATTACACAAAATGATACAGCTGTCCACAAGGTCAGAAACGATAAAAAGTCGAACTTATTGGAAATGAAGACATAAGCACCACGTGACAAATGTTATCGTGCGCAAAAGAATAGCCTAATTTGAATTATAGGATATCAGGATTACCTTGCTTATCGTAGGCGTACGGGCACCAAAGTTAACACGAAAAAGACTTACGTTATATTTTGCTTTGTAGAACAGATATAATAAACATATGTTTGTATAATATGTTGGAAAATATGACTCGGGGTTCTTTGAATTGAAAATGTTTGAAAAACAATCAATTTAGACCACAAGCGACCTTCAGGCATTACCTACGTACCCTCGTTATATACATGTACTCCACCATAATGCACGCACGCGCATTGTTTATATCTTACATATATGAGAGCCATGACTAGGCAATACGTACACTAATTAATATTGAACAGACACCCGACAACTTTAACGACCAAAAGCAATGTATATGACACGTGGGGATGCCATCAATAAGTCAATGGAACCCCTGTTAGGACTGGAACAACTCGTATTACACAACTTAGTAATATCATCACTCAGCAATTGAAACTATACTTTTTTAATTAACGACAGACACCAAACCAGCTAAAACGACCGACGCAATGATGTATATTCCGTAAGAAAAGTTTAACAGAGGCGTACCATGACCCAGTGAGAATGTTGTAAAAGAGAATCCTTCGTGATGCAGAGTTGACGACTGCATTAACACAGTACCCTTCCACAACAGATATAATTATGGCTTTAATAAGTAAGGAGTGTCATGTCATGCTTTGTTGACCTTCAATACAATACGGATTAGTGTCGGTCATGATTAACGATACCTCACAGTGTGTTTGGTTGTCATCGACTGACTACCGATCCCGGATTTGACAGGAAGTATCATGACAGCAGCCATATTTGGTGCAAAACCGCTTATCGATCTGCTAGAGATCCTGATATTTTTTTCGGAACTTTTAGTGGGTCCATGCTGTTTTTCCTTTTGTCGTGATACCCCTTCACTCAGCTTCTGTAGTTGTTTTATGGTGTCGACTTTTATTAATCAATTTTGTCCTTGGGTGTTGACTTTGTGATGTGTTTTTCCGTTGTGTATAGACGGTGAATTATATTTTGTCCTCAAATGTTGGATGTGTGATACATTTTTTGTCCTTGATTACTGACGCTGTAGTACATTTTGTCCTGGTGTGTTTAGACTATTATCATTTTGATTTTGTGTGTTGACGCTGTGGTACATTTTTTCCTTGTGTACTGACGCTGTGTTACATTTTGTCCTGGTGTGTTTAGACCATGATAATTTTGATTTTGTGTGTTGACGCTGTGGTACATTTTGTCCTTGTGTGCTGATGCTGTGGTACATTTTGTCCTGGTGTGTTTAGACCATGATAATTTAGATTGTGTGTGTTGACGCTGTGGTACATTTTTCCCTTGTGTACTGACGCTGTGGTACATTTAGTCGTGGTGTGTTTAGACCATGATTATTTTGATTTTGTGTGGTGAAGCTGTGGTACATTTTGTCCTGGTGTGTTTAGACCATGATAATTTAGATTTTGTTTGTTGATGCTGTGGTACATTTTGTCCTGGTGTGTTTAGACCATAATAATTTAGATTTTGTGTTTTGACGCTGTGGTACATTTTGTCCTGGTGTGTTTAGACCATGATAATTTAGATTTTATTTGTTGACGCTGTGGAACATTTTGTCCTGGTGTGTTTAGACCATGATAATTTAGATTTTGTTTGTTGACGCTGTGGTACATTTTGTCCTCGTGTGTTTAGACCATGATAATTTAGATTTTGTGTGTTGACGCTGTGGTATACACTGGCTTATGATTATTTACACCCTGGTTCAGTATGTTGAATTATTTTGTTTGATTTAATGTTGATGATTGTTTTTCTCTTGTATTTAGGTAGTTGTTTATTTTGTGTATATTCTGCTTTACATTCTAGATACAATTCAAGGACCAGAATGTCTCACGTGAAGGTTTAATGTATATACGATTAAGAAGTCAACTGACTACACAAAACGATTATCATCGAAATCAATGTTTTACTTTTTACTCGACACACACAAAAATGTCATAAAATAGGTCCTCTTAAGTCAGGTCGCGATATGCATGTAAATATGCCATTTAAAACATGTTGCTCTTTTTATATTTTTCAGAGTTTGTACAAATGATGTCCCACTGACACAGATAACGCCTTATCAACATCAGACAGGATGCATCCGGGGAAGCCTTCCAATGGGACACCATGCCTGATTTATACGTTGCTTATAACTAACAATGGAAGTAATTTAGCAATAATTAATAATAATAATCCTCAGTATTATATGTCATCGTATTTCTATATTAATTAAATCACTTTGTAACTTATGTTATCTTTCACGTGTGGAAACCATTGATTAAAGAAGAAAATATTGTAATTCTCTGCTGAAACAACTAGACACATGAGAGAAGACAGACTGTATGAGAGAGAACAGGACTGTATGGGAGAGAACAGGACTATATGAGAGAAAGCAGGACTGTATGAGAGAAGACAGGACTGTATGAGAGAAGACAGTACTATGAGAGAGAAGACAGGACTGTATGAGAGAAGACAGGACTGTATGAGAGAAGACAAGAATGTATGAGTGAGGACAGGACTGTATGAGAGAAGACATGACTGTATGAGAGAAGACAGGACTGTATGAGAGAGAACAGGACTGTATGGGAGAGGACAGGACTATATGAGAGAAGACAGGACTGTATGAGAGAAGACAGGACTGTATGAGAGAGGACAGGACTGTATGAAAGAAGACAGTACTCTATGAGAGAAGACAGGACTGTATGAGAGAAGACAGGACTGTATGAGAGAGTACAGGACTGTATGAGAAAGGACTGGACTGTATGAGAAAGGACTGGACTGTATGAGAGAAGACAGGACTGTATGAGAGAGAACATGACTGTATGAGAGAAGACTGGACTGTATGAGAGAGAAGACAGGACTGTATGAGAGAGGACAGGACTGTATGAGAGAAGACAGGACTGTATGAGAGAATAGACAGGACTGTATGAGAGAGGACAGGACTGTATGAGAGAGGACATGACTGTATGAGAGAAGACAGGACTGTATGAGAGAGAACAGGACTGTATGGGAGAGGACAGGACTATATGAGAGAAGACAGGACTGTATGAGAGAAGACAAGAATGTATGAGTGAGGACAGGACTGTATGAGAGAAGACAAGAATGTATGAGTGAGGACAGGACTGTATGAGAGAAGACAGGACTGTTTGAGATAAGACAGGACTGTATGAGAGAATACAGGACTGTATGAGAGAGGACAGGACTGTATGACAGAAGAGAGGACTGTATAAGAGAAAACTGGACTCCCATTAATGACGTATTTATGTTAGCTTTCTGTTCATTTCGAAGGTAATATTCTGTTTGTTTCCTTTTCGGTGAATGGTGCCATTGTTTTTATATTTCTTCATTGTTTTTTATTTCTTCATCGCGAATAATTGATAGCTAATTTCCGACTGTTCAGTTCCATCCAAAAACTTCCTTATTTTATTATTTGGAAAATAAGAAATGTTCCTTTAAACAATTGTTTTATCCGTCTATCCTGCCATTTAAGGTCGAAATAACCATATTTTGCCTTTGCTCATATATTTTATGATCTGCAAGATCTGTTTCAGTGTTCGTCATAACGGACGTTATTTGTCTTGAATAAAATTACGTTTTAATTTTAACCTTGCTCTGTTAACACACAAAATCGGTCTTTCTTGTTATCTTCCAATAAGTAAAGCATATACATATGAGCATATATTATTTTTATATATGAAATCTTTCCCGTTATCTTCCGACAAATATAGTTGAAATTAAAGTTAACTATTTTCCCTCGAACGAAAGTTGAACATTCAATTAATGGGACTTTTGCTGATTATTTGGTTGTGTCAAGACTATGATATTTGTTTTGTTTCGACTTGCAATGTTTCAATATTTCTGTTGCTAAAAAAGCAGGTTGTCTTTGTTCTTAAAACAAAATGCACTGTATAAAATTGGTTTAACGCATACCTAATACTGATTTTGTTTCGTCATCTCGAGATTGAAACATAAATATCACTATTATGGTTAACTTTTTGCCTACAGCGAACCTGTTAATACCTCAATACATCTGATTTTGTTCGCGTACTCCACGGAAACTGCATCGTCCTGCTAGTACTCGTCTGTTAACTCTAGAGACAATTAGGTGGATATCACAAACTCCTCTTAACTGCTGTTTAAACAGAGCAGTAGGTTCTTAAACCCCTTATATATATATATATGACTTTTAGAAATTAAAGTAGAACTGGTCAATTCCAACAATGACTAAAGTGTGATTGCTAGAACCCTGCCACGATTCAAAAGAGCTGACACCTCAGGGACGCAGAAGTCCACTTGTAGAAACTCACACCCTGTATCCTAAAAGATGAACGTACAATTTACATCACACACATGTTTCGACGGCTAAACAATTTGGTATTTGATACAACATGCCGAAGAAAAAAACTGCTCTGCACTATACAGATGTAAAATAACATTCCGCGAAGATCACATAACTGGCAGTATATACATTCACAAGCAAAATATTTGGTTAACCATAATTCAAACATCCTGCAGTTATCGTTTATCATCTACAAAGTGAATAGTAATTGAATTCCTCTTGCCAGTGTTTACTTATAATTTTAGAAATCGTTTAAATCTCTTTAATCATTAAAATGATTTCTATACGTAGAACCAGGTCTGACATTTCAACCTTAAATACTGGTTGAGTACGTGTGAGCATACGCTAAACTCTACCGATTGTTACCATTGTGCTCTGTGGGACTTGGTGACACAGTTGTGTGTGTACATTTGTGTTTACATAAACCATTATAATTATTAGGTTTGAATTCATTTCGTCCATGTCATACATACACATATTTCCCTTCTACCATTTGTAAATAAGAAATAAAATACTAAAAAGCGTTCGTGTTGTTCGAATTGTATTGCTGTGTCGCGGTAAAGGTGTCTTTGTCATGCAAGTACTGTATATAGTGGCTGTTTCGCACGTTAAGAGGCACTGTTGACAAAGTATGTCATATTGCGATTAAGAATTAATTTGCGATATTAAATCAAACAAACAAATCCGTCTATACTTTGCAGTATTAAGATACAGGACAAATCTGATGTACATGCACGTGTACGACAATACATCAGGAACCAATCATGAAGAAACAAACAAAAGAACATGACATTCTGAGCCTCACCAAAATTAGAAAGTGAACATTCAGGTCTTACAAATGGTGTTACAGAAAAATGAAATATATTCACGGTGTCAATAAATAATAACATTATCCTAAAATACAAAAGACAACAACAGAAACCGATGGGAGACCAACACAAGAAGGAAACACCGTGTTCTTAAAAGAAAATAACATCAGAAGGAAAACATGGTGCTCTAGAATGGAAAGGAGAACCAATTTTTCAGGAATAAAGATTTTTCTATATTTTTGCTGGTCTTAGATTCTATGTACTTTTTCAAGGATCTTTCAGTAGATCTTTTGTCCAAACACAATTCAATTTACGTTAATTTGATTGATTTTGAGCTCGCATTACGGTTTTATTTACATTTCGGTTTCTTTTTATATGAAATACTGTTTTAAAATTCTATAAGGTATTATGTTCAAAATTTCAATGAAACCTTCATCTATAAACACGAGAAAAAAAGCAATATTTTCTGTATGCTATATACCTAGAAGCTGTATACTCAGGATAAAAGCTGGGTACGGATCCAGGCAACATTTAACGATTAATAATGGACGGCCAGTCATTGTATATATCGTGTACTACTAAAGATAGATCAATATGTCGCTCTTTCCAAATACTCAAAGGGTTTTAGTGACGCTATTGTCAAGTCGTGGTCCAGAACCTGATGTCGATTGATTCCACTTCAGGTGTGTTTGTCTTTCATCGATTCTCCGCGTAGGATACACATCTACCTCAGAGGTTAAATCTATTTAGATTGTCCTAATCGCACACCGTATTTAAGAATTAACAAATAAAACAAAACCTTTGTTACACAATCGCACCAGGTAAATACAAATACATAAATACCGTTTTATCAAGGCATCAAGTTGAACACAAAAATACTTGTATCTGAGATACACAGTATACCCGGGGTTATCGACCTGTTTATCATGTATGCAAATTATGTACAATGATTTTTAACGTCTCCTGAAGAATCTCTAACACACACACACACAACCACATATATATATATAGATCTACATGTATGGCTGAGGCTTTGTGACAGTTTAAGTCTCGTGTCGATGATGCATTAATGATATTGTCGGATAGGTATATTACCCAGGTAAGAATCAATACCGCTGAATAGCGCCACAACACCTCGGTTCAGAAGTACAATACACTTTGGAATACGTCCTATCCTGGTCTGAAACAACGGTCACCTGAAACAATGAACGGGTCATCAAACACAGACCTATAAAGAGATACCTCGAAGTGGCGTGGTCATGCAGAAAGGTTTATTGTGGCAATAGAAGGATTCTCATTCCTTGCCAGACAGAATAGCAGCAGCCATTTTGAACATAGACAAATTGTCAAAAGATAAACACGTACCTTGCTGTCGACTTGGGTAAATAACTCACCTGTCCCCACAGGAATCATTGCATACGGCTGCTGGAACAAACCAAACAGGCAGAATGGCGGTAAGTAGTTAACGCCTACAATTATCATATACGAATTACAGGTGTAATATATAAATATTTTTCAAAATTATAAAGACCTCAATGGGACCATTTTATTTTTTTATTTACAAACATTGCCATTAATTGATCGCAGATAAGTACATAGCTATATGTTTTTAAACCAAAACAAAGACATACATATTATTTACCTCTGTAAACATTCAAGAATATAGCAAACATCTCTATGAGTAGCCATTATTTTGATTTGCAAATTAAATTATAACTGTATGTTTCAGTTCTGCGTATATGGTCGTTCAACTAGCAAAAAATAGTTTTTGGCAAACAACCAACAACTAATAAAGGACGATGCTATTTATAGAAAGCAATTTACATTGCATCAAAAGTTGTTTAAATTTGGAGATATATTTTTAACACCAAGGTGAAATACAATTACAATCGTGTCTGTATTATATGTGCCATATCACGTAAGCATTTATGTAATTTAAATCATTTTGTTAAATATATGAATAACATTTTTCTAGGCGGAGAATTTATCACAGTGCCTTACAAGATCTTTAAATTTTTTAATGTCCTTTACTTTCAGATAACAGTAACACTTTTCTTGCCTAATTAACAATTGTCAGACTCAAATCAATGGTCATATACTTTATCCGTGTTTTGTTTTATTAATTGATTAATTTTACGTCGGTTAACCAGAATATTAACGACTCAAATTCTTTTAAATACCGTTGTTGTTATATTGTTTCACGTGATCAGGGACATATTGTTTACTATTACATGTTTACAGATAACAGCAGAGCAACAAAAGGTATTTTGTCTGGCAGTGTTTTGTTGTTGGGGAACAGTATCAATTCACAAATCATTTTCGTTGAACGACATCTCATTACATTTCAAGAGTGGAAACCTTTATCATAACATTTTGTTTGCTTTGCTGAGATTACAATGTGTATAATGATTCGTTTTTTAGAAAAAAAACATTAATTCATCGAAATCTGAATGTTTAATACTGTAAGCGTTATCTTCATGTTCAGCTCATGCCGTGACATTTTCAAACTTTATAATTATTGAATCAGATAAAAAAGAAATGTGATCCGTTGTGAGACCAAATTTATTGCTTAGTTCTACATAGTTAGTGATGATGTAGTGTAGTTTATTACTACACAGCTAGTGATGACGTAGGACAGTTTGTTACCGACGTAATGACGTTTAACACCCACTCGACTACATTATAGTCGGTGATGAAACAACAACAAACATCGATACACATTTTCGTAATTTATCTTCAGTAGCATATTGTCCACTGTAGCTGAGTCGGAGTGAAAACATTAAATAAGTTCCCATTGCCTTTGTCATTCAAAACCAAAAATGTTTCCCATCATTGCAGCACAGTTGGCAATAATTGTAATGAACCAAAGGGTATTTGGTGGTCAATGCTTAATGCTACTTGGGCTAAGTTTACTTTCCTGTGATTTATAAACCTGATGCCTATTTTCTTAAATACATGAATTTCTGGACAATCTATCAAAACGTATTTGAACATAAACACTTGCACCCAATCAATATCAGTTATATCAATCAATATATCGATTAATCAGAGGTCAGTTAGTCAGACAGCTTGTAGCATGTAAGTATAAACGATTGAATGAATGAATGAATTAACGAATGAATAAATGAATGAATGAATGAATGAATCAATCAATCAATCAATCAATCAATCAATCAATCAATCAATCAATCAATCAATCAGTCAATTAAATGACCAATCAGTCAATATTTGAATAATTTAACGATGTGACATATGTGTTGTGTTGTTACTTAAGGTTGCCGTAACTACATAGTGTTTTATAGACATTGCAGATGTTTGATTGTTGAAGATGAAGTGCATTTTTTTTTTCTTTTTTTTTTCAGTTTTCAGTTGATTACACCACGACGAATATAGTGTCAATATACAGCCATGTTTAAATTTATGCATTAACGACTTTTTAAATGTTTTCTTTAGCTGGAGTTGTAGTTAACAATATATATTAGATTTAGTAAGATTTAAACCTAAGGACAAACATGCAATGAAGCTTGACCTGGATACATTTTAGTTTAAAGAAGAACAGAGGATAATGTTAGACCATTGTACAGAGGCTCATAGCTTATTTTACCTATTGATAATTATAAATCATACATACGAGAATGTAAACAATACAATTGAAAGATGCAAATAATCGACAGCTTAATTGTTATGAAGGTTAACTGTTTAATAGCTGGGTAGGTACATGTGACAGAAGGTGTGACTCTTCTATAAGGAATATATATATATATATACAATTATTGGACAGTGATAAGTTTCCATATCAAAACAAAAACTTGTGTTTTAAAATAACTTATTGGAATGCCCCCTATTATCAGCAAACGAATACTAACGCGTTGTTTTAGCTTAGTTTGTTAATATACGAAAAACTTAATATTTCTTCACAGCTTATAGATGAGACATTTGAAGGACTTGCGGAGGAGCAGATTGAGGGTGAGTTAGAAAAAAGCAACAAATATATATAACTTGTATGGTATTTGCTATATAACCATTTCATCTAGACAAATCACCTTAGTGCAGAATCAAGTCAATAATATCTGTTGCAAATCAATATCTAGCAGTAACAAATATTCATCTAAAGAATAAAGTTACATTTGGTCACAATAGGTTGGGGTTGTGCAGACAGCCATAACATCAATTCCATTGTCCTTCTCCTTCTTAACAATTCTTTTCTATGTTTCTCTCTATATAGCACCAAACCTCTTTACAATGTTTGCACTGTAAGTGTCGCTAAACAAATATTCGCAACAACATAGCCAGTTTCATTTACACAATGTTTCGCACTGAACTAAAAAGAATTTCTAGCAGGGATTAAAAAACCTATATGTGAGTTATCGATGTTATCTTTTGTCTTTTATCCCGTTTGAATTGTAAATTTAGCTTTGTATAATTATTTCATAATATGATATACCGAGATATCAAAGGGTTCTTTGAAACTTGTCCAATGAGAATCGAACTTCGAGGATTATCAGATAAATAGTTGCTAAAAGCTCCTGCGAGAATAGTAATATTTAGGATGCACAGTGTCTTTATAATCTTACTGAAGAAATATCACGAGCCTTAGAAATGCATCGTTTGATTTTCTTAGGGTCCGGTTAGATAACCCATTGATATGGAGATAAATACAGCACAGTGGAAATTCCATAGAATCCCGCGTGGTGGTACTGACAAAATTATCCATTAATTATTATTATGGTTCCAGTGTAGCCATGTTGGCTATAACAACTACGGTCTGTAGGGATGACAAGGGAATTGATTATTTCCTCTTTGTACTTACATCGTGGTGTTGGTTAACTGTTTAACCTCGTATGGACATTATCAGAACATTTGGTATTTAGACACTGGCTTTTCAAAGTATATAATGAACAGTATTGTAAGAGTTGGGCCATTTTCATTTGAAAAACTATAATACTCAAAGGCCAACTCTCCAGTACAGAATGTGTATTTCGTTTAATGTACGTATATTATTTGTAACATGTTCGGCTTGAAATTTGATATGTTTGTAACATTTAAACAGTAGTTTAGACCACAGAATGATTACTGATCTATAATATTTTTGTTCAGTCATTGACTTTGGAACTGGAGATCGTTATTTCCTGATACCAATACTTTGTACATATCTGAAGTCAATACAACTCATTGCTCTTCCTAGATGTTATATTTTGAACGTCAATGACGTTATCACTTTTATTTTCATTTAATTTAATATATGTTTTAGATATGTAATTTTAACAGCAACCCTTCAAACTTTCAGGTTTCTAGTTTACCTTCTTACAACAGTAACATATATTTTTCTAGTTTAGGATTTTGAATGGAATTAGTCCGGGGTACGAATCTTTGTTCCGTTGTTTGATTAAACACACATAACGTCATTGCACTTAAAGATCGTTAATGGCAATGACAATGGGTACCGTGGATATCAAGTGAACATGGCGAATTCCTAAAGCTTTTAAACATCTATAGAGACATATTAATGCTGTTTATTCCGTCCTTTAATTTAATGATTGACTATTCAGTTTAACAGCTCGCTCTGTCTCCCAAGGTCAATCAGATTATATTTGCATTGTCGGTGTTTTTCTCCTGACAACACAGCTCCAACAACCCAAGTGGAATATAAAATGGCCACATTACATCTCCAGCACGGAGCAGTTATTTATACTCCTAACAACTTAATATGTTATTCATACTCCTAACAACTCTATATGTTATTCATACTCCTAACAACTTTATATGTTATTCATACTCCTTACAACTCTATATGTTATTTATACTCCTAACAACTTAATATGTTATTCATACTCCTAACAACTCTATATGTTATTCATACTCCTAACAACTTTATATGTTATTCATACTCCTTACAACTCTATATGTTATTTATACTCCTAACAACTTAATATGTTATTCATACTCCTAACAACTCTATATGTTATTCATACTCCTAACAACTTTATATGTTATTCATACTCCTTACAACTCTATATGTTATTCATACTCCTAACAACTTATTATGTTATTCATACTCCTAACAACTCTATATGTTATTCATACTCCTAACAACTTTATATGCTATTCATACGCCTTACAACTTTATATGTTATTCATACTCCTAACAACTCAATATGTTATTCATTCTCCTAACAACTCTATATGTTATTCATACTCCTAACAACTCTATATATTATTCATACTCCTAACAACTCTATATGCTATTCATACTCCTAACAACTCTATATATTATACATACTCCTAACAACACTTTATGTTATTCATACTCCTAACAACTCTGTATGTTATTCATACTCCTAACAACTCTATATGTTATTTATGCTCCTAACACCTCTATATGTTATTCAAACTTTTAACAACTTCATATGTTATTCATGCTCCTAACAACTCTTTATGTTATTCATATTCCTAACAACTCTATATGTTATTCATGCTCCTAACAACCCTATTTGTTATTTATACTCCTAACAACTCTATATATGTTATTCATGCTCCTAACAACTCTATATGTTATTCATGCTCCTTACAACCCTATATATTATTTATACTCCTAACAACTCCTTATGTTATTCATGCTCCTAACAAATCTATATGTTATTCATGCTCCTAACAACTCTATATGTTATTCATACTCCTAACAACTTTAAATGTTATTCATACTCCTAACAACTTAATATGTTATTCATACTCCTAACAACTCGTTATGTTATTTATACTCCTAACAACTCTACATGTTATTCATGCTCCTAACAACTTTATATGTTATTCATACTCCTAACAACTCTATATGTTATTCATACAAGTATGTTCCGATTATATTACACAAGGATAGCGATGACTTCACACATCGATAAAAAACATCTACTTCTGATGTTTTCCACTGTTAATTTATAGTTAGACAATTCATGTGTCGTAGTCTTTCGTCATTAAAATAAAGTTTATTTCTAATGATATTTGTTGTTTACACCAAAGAATACAAGATGGCATTCCGCGTATTCGATAAGGATGGAGACGGTACTGTGTCGGCGGATGAACTGGGAACTGTGATGAGATCCCTGGGGGAGAACCCAACCGAAGAGGAACTAGAGGCACTGGTCCTCGAGGTGGACACAGACGGTAAGTGACGTAGACTAGTAACCATGTTTGGGGGTGAGTAAAAATCACAGGGGAGTGGTCCCATAACCATGGGGGCATGGCATCTGACGATAGAGGCATGACCATATATCAATAAGAGCGTGATAACTGACCTCAGGGGCGTGACATATTACGATAGGGTCGTGGCCCCATAATCATTAGGGTGTGATAGCTGACCATAGGGGCATGGCAACTTACTATAGGGGCATGACCTTATATCAATTAGCGCGTGATAACTGACGTTATGGGCGTGGTAACTTACGATAGGGTCGTGTCCACATAATCATTAGAAGGCGATAACTATCCATAGGGGCGTGGCAACCTACTATATGGGCATGCCCTTATATACATTAGTGCGTGATAGCTGACCATAGGGGCGTGGCATCTTGCGATAGGGTCGTGGCCTCGTGATAACTGACCAAAATATAGAAGATATCACAGGTACTGCTGCTTTTAAAATATAATGATTAGTTTAAGGATAAAACAAAAGAACAACAGTTATATAGGCTATGAGAGATTGAGGATGTACTCTTATGAAGTTTGAATCACGTTCAAGTCTCGTTTAGATCTGGTGTAACAGGTTTTTGTAATATTTAACAAAATATGATCAAGTTTAATAGCAAACACGCATCTGAAAAATATGTCAAAAATCTAGATGCCTGTTGTTTGCAGACCCTTTTTTACAAGAATTTAAAAAAATGACCAATTCGGCGGCCATTTTGAAAATGTGTATTAATTTATTGCGCTTCACAAAAGGCCAAAATTTCACACTTTTGGACACTAGATTGATCCCTTAAATTGTCATTGTGTCACCATTTTTAATTAAAGCAGGTTCAATTTTGCTTTACAACATTAAAATGTTCAATATGATAAAAAAATATGCAAAAAAATGGAAAATTATACATTATTTGTATATATTTTTTTTTTACATAATTTGTGTAACTGAAGCACTTTTGATTTTTGACCCCGAAAAGGGTGAAAAATAACACAAATAATTATGGGACAAAAAAAGCGTTTAATCTGCAAAAAAATAGTATTTTCTTTATAAAAAAAATAAGGAGCAGGGGTAACTTAAATCGCCTTTCTGATTTGAAAGAATCAGATTAGGAAAATTTACTTCCAAAATTTAAAAGAAATTAATATTTGTATCAATTACACACTTGGAAGAAATTGTATGAATTTGTTATACAAATGGTCAAAACCTAACAAATCACCTAAAATCACATATTGTGTTAAATTGGTATCTTTGGCCGATCATAGCACAGAAACGAACACACGGATTTTTTTGATTTTGATTTTGATTTTCTATGAAATTAACTCCTTTTTCCAAAAATCCATATAAGAAAAAAAGTTTAATACAGGATTTTTTTGACTTCTCAGAGGTGTTCATTCTTAAGTGTGCTTGGCTAAAATACACGATGACATTAGTAAAGTTTGTAATAACAAAATTATATTTTGGTATGTTGCTTTAAAAGGATTTACGAAAAAAGAGTAAGGATATAAGGTCTACCACTCGACTGAAGTACTTAATGCTATCAAATTTTCATTAAAGGGAACGTAGTGATAAAACATGCCCGATGATTGGATACTGAGCACGTATTTCAAGTATTTTAAGATAAGTTTGGTATACATAATTCTTAATGATTCACGTGACACTGCACAAAACTGTAACTATGATCTAAAAATTGTATGAAAATGAAATAAACAAAATTCAATCAAAAACAATCTTCTGAATGTAACAAAATAATTTGGACTTTTTAGTGTTTTAGTATAGGTCTAACCGACGGACCTCACTAGTCTAAGGGATATCCCTGACCCACCTGTGCTACAAGTTACACGTATATCCAAAAAGAGAATAAGGGGAGGTTGTAATATGTACAAAACAATACAGTGCAGTGGGACAAACATCCTTCATAGTAACGTGTTATTCCTTATGCAAGTGTTTTATTTCACACACTTAGGTAACGGAACTATTGAGTTCGACGAGTTCGTGCGGATGATGAAGAAGAAAGACGCCAACAAAGGAAGTCCGGAAGAAATATTCGAGGCGTTCAAAGTGTTTGACCGCGAAAACAGAGGTTTCATTACTGCTGATGAGCTTCGTCACATCATGACAAATCTCGGCGACAAGCTCCCGGATGAAGATGTTGATGAAATGATAGAGCTTGCAGATTTAGATGGCGACGGTACAATTGAATATGAAGGTGCGTATCTATATTAAAAACGGCATTCGCCAAACGTCCTTTTAATGAAGTGTGCCTGGTTTGGAATCCAACCTTTTCATTGCAATATACTAAGTGTTTGTCAATTCATGTACAGCGAAGTAATTCGTGAGTAATTTGTCATGTATGGTATGTTTGACTAAAAACGACACATTTCATCATAAATTGCGGAAATGTTGATTATGTTTATACAATTGACTTAGTTTTAATCAAAATCGTATTCGGGCGCATTGATCTAACTGAACGATTTGCGTCTAGAAATGATTGAGCATTACAAATAGAGACATGGAAATGGTGATATACGTTTTCAATAAAACTAAACCTATTAAAGGCTGATTTGGGTAATTCAAATATTTTTCTCTTAACCTGGAAAGGTGAATCCACTATATATTTTACCTGTGTGATCTCACCCTAGGATTGAGATGGGGAATTCCCCTTTTCATAACAAGGGTATGCCGTGACGTTAATAATACAATGACGTCACGTCAGCAATAAAAAAAACACAACTTAGGAATATTCCCCCTCTGGTTGAGATTCCCCTATCTCACCCCCAAGGGAGTGAGAGATTTTATTAGTCTTTCACGCTATCCGAATATATATTGCGCTGCCGTGCTGCTAAATATTAACATCCAGATAACACTACACATAAACTTATGTCATTTGATCCTTTTATCGTTACAGAATTTGTAAAAATGTTGGCAAATCCTGAAGGAGTAAACCAGCCGGATTGTGAACAACAGGAACAAATAGCAATTTAGAAAATACTTATACTGAGTCAGTGCAAGATGAATGAAATGGCAGGGATGTAAGACAAAAAGGTCCCAACACAAGCATCCCGGCATTTCCTTTCGTTGGTGTTCATTCTTACCACAAAACGTGGCTGCCTACAAGTCATTACAATCTGTGATACCTTTTGTATATTTTATCCTGATTAGAAAACAGGAACAAGTGAAGACACTCTCACGTGTCATTTATTTGATTATCTTATTATTATCACGCATGCGCATGGTATAAACTTACACAAAATAGCGTTCATAGTATTATAAAGACAAAAATGGAACATGCCTTTTGCTTATAAAGCCATTCAATATTTTATAATGTGACACTTGGAAGTCTGCTTCGTAAACACAGTGAAAAGCTTCGAATTGGTCGCTCCAGTGCCCATGGTGGTTGGAATGCTTTCCCATAAATACCGTTCATTATTGACGTTACACACAAAAGCAAAGCAATTATCACGGAACATGTTTAATGCAATGAATAATGACTACATGTTTAGAATGTAAATACATAGTTAAATGGTATACTTAACAGTTATACCAGTATGAAAAGCCACAGCAGGCATACTTACGATAATTCGCTTCATAGACTGTGTGTATGTGAGCTAGCGTATCTCATGCTGATATGGTAATTATAGTAACAGGGCTCGATCAATACTTATATCGATAGAAAAACTACACAACGTACATTTTATTTCAGAGTAAACAATACCAACTGTTGAACAGACTTTCTAATTAATTATTTCTATATCCCCCCCCCCCCCCTCCCTCTCTGATCCAATATATCAGCGGATCACTTTGTCACAGTACAAGAATGGACATATTGGTCCTTAGATTTAGATCAATCCATTTCCACGCAGACGGTCGGCTTTCTATTACCGATGCGAGCGTGGCTTTTATTGGAGGTAATATCATCTCCAGCTCATCATAGAGTTATATAGGACATGCTACTAGGATAGTCCCGTGGATAGAAATCAAAGCTCTACGGCCTATGTTTCAATGATTCGCTACCAGTATGGACATTTCGGATAAGATTCAAAGCTCGAGGTCCCGTGTCTCAAAGATTTGTTACCGGATAAGACTCTCGGATAAGCCTCATAAAACTAGGTCGGGTGTCTCAAAGATTCGTTACCATGATAGAAGACCGTCAGATTGACACCAAAGCGCTAGGCTCCGTGTCGCAATCGATAGTCTTTTATATATACCAGGATAGACCCTCAGATAGACAACAAAGCGCTAGGCTCCGTGTAGCAATAAATCGGCACCAGGAAAGTCCCTTGTATGTTAAGTTAATCGTTACCAGGAAGGTCCCTTGCATATTCAGTTAACCGTTACCAGGAAGGTCCCTTGCATATTCAGTTAACCGTTACCAGGAAGGTCCCTTGCATATTCAGTTAACCGTTACCAGGTAGGTCCCTCGCTTCTAGCTCAAAGCTGCATGTTTTGTGTCTCGATGAATCGCTACCAGTAGAGTCCCAAGATAGTAATCAAAGGTGTAGGTCTTGTGTCTGTCTTAATGATCTGTTAGGAACGTCTCTAATCAACAATAGTAGTGCAACTATTCTAGACATTATCGATCAAAGAATTATATATCATGTTATTGATTATCTTTTTTATTCAAAAGTTATTTTTATTGTTCTATGTCTATTACCTATATTGGTGTGATCGAATTGGGGAAAGAGTTATTATACAACAAATGACTGGCGTCACGTTTAATAATCAAATGGTTTTAAATTAAAGCATTGGATATTAGAACGAAAACATTCATCTTATGTAATGCTACTGGGGACACTGGTTAAAAATCGATCAGATTATATGTTGTTAAGGTATATATTAATTCCATGCCCGGAAGCAGAATATAAGGGTTCATACATGTAAAATTTCCAAGAGACGGCTTTAATACTCAATTCTATAACACCAGGAAAACATATTCTCAGTTGTACACAGATACATTTAAGATATATAAAACTATAGTTAACATTTTTATAAAATAAATTGAAAATCTTTGTGTGACCAATCTTATTACCTGATTATTGGTAAAAACTTGTATTGAGGTCGAAATAATGTGATAATCCCATCAATCATGACAGTTGTGATTGTTCTGTATCATAAATGTATGCGTAACGTATTTTAAAAAATGTAGCTCTATTAATGAACAATTCTTCAGGTTTTCCTTGTTATGATAATGACAATAATTCAGTAATTTTTATTCCGGCCTGCCATGTTTTCGCACATTTTAAATGTAATAAAATAAGTTTAACCGAAATGATTAACGGATGTTTAAGCAAACAATATGATCTAAAATTTCATATTAGTTTATTTTTATAAATATGTTCATTTAAAACGCTATATTTGTCATAGCATTAGTTAAGTCGGAAAATGATCTCATGTTGTGCCTAGACTTATAGATGTGTGTTGATGTTTTCTTCATATATGAATCATGTGTTTGCATTGTCTTTATACATTTTTCCGTGAACTTTGAGAAATTGGAGTTATTTTAAAAAATCTTAAGTATTTAAGTCTTTAAAGAAAACTGTAAAAAAGGAAAAGGTTTTGCGGAAATGCGAACGTTTTTCGTGTGAAGGAAATAAGCGCGAAATTACCCACACGCGAATATTTCTTTTTTGGATCTTTGGAATCTAAAGCTACAAATCTTTGCTAACGAGAACAGTTCCATGCCACAATGAGTTTAAAGAGTCACAGCTTGGACATTTTCAAACGCGAAAGTTTTACTTTTATAGTATACAATGAAACCTGTCTAAACTGAACTCTGTTTAATACAGTCTGCATATACGTTATGTGTATATTCGTAAATTGAACCTGTGTAATCCGACAAAATGGTCATTCTGAATGACATTACTGTGTAGTTTGGTGTAACCAAATTCTGTGAAGTTAAGTTTACCAAAGATTTATTGAAGCCATAAAAAAAAATCATTTTCTCGTTTCATAAAAAACATTTTTAGAAGAGGTTCTATGTGTAATTATCAGTATTTATTGATTCTGTTATATTGTCTCACATTTACAGAAAAACGGGTACATTAATAATGTATTTTTCTCTAAATGTGAAACAATATGATTGTGTTTGTGATGAAAATGTATAAATATTTTCATTTGTTATTGATTAAATTGTTGTATGTAAATATTTTATTGTTGTTTAATTTTATTGATGACGTTTTATATTACTTTGTTGTACATACTTGAATTTCAATAAAGCTGCTCATATACATTTTTAATGTGTTTGTAAAATTTGCTTTCTATAAATGTGTAACCCGCTGTGTCTTTGCCAATTCCGTCACTGAACAAGGGAGTGGATTCGATTTTCCCTACTACGCTGCTGGCAAAACGATAGCGAATCATACAGTTTAAACTGTAACCTTCCCTCTGTTTCGTTTTGGATAGAATTATGAAAATAGTATCATCCTATAGGGAACATATTCTACAACGTCAATAAACAAAGACAAAATGTACAACCGCGTCATTTAACAAGGACAGAATATGGCCCAGTGCCATAAAAATGAGACCTAACATAATACATGATCATCACATAATGACAAATCCTCACACGGTATCATCATAAGCAAAAAAACACAATAATAACACAGCCTTTTCTTAGACAGATATTATATTAGCTCTCATTAGACAAAGATAGCCACACTACTGGCCAGGTAAAGATATCTCTGTCTTACCCTAGGGAAAATACGGGGAATTCCCCTGTCATAACAACTTCATGACGTCATCTCGACAATGCATTGACGTCAAGGTAACAATACAACGACGTCACGTCAACAATAGCAGTTCGAGGAAGAAAACTCCGCGCTGCTCGAAATAATTCAATCAACGTTTGCATTTTATGAAACCAACACTTGTACTTGATGTGATAGAAAATAATCATTCCCCACTTTAAGAGTAGGACAAAAAAAACTCAACCTTCGGGGTAAGGCTGTTAGATGTCTGGCCCTCGCGCAAAATCTCAAGCTAGACATTTCAGAATCTTACAAAATGTACCCCTTGGGGTGAGATGTTCTTATTTACCACGGGGAAAGATTACATTAGACCACAGCGTCAATGCACACGGACAAAACATACTACAGCTTCGACACACCATCATAAAATCTACTACAAAGTTAACATATGATTTATACTTCCACGTCTATACACAACGACAAAATATTCCAAATCATGAATAGACAAGGAGAAGATCCAAACTTCAAAGACAATAAAAAGAAGTACCAAATCGTGCATACACAAAAACAAGATCTGAAGGCAAAGCCGATGCAAAATATAAACCAAACCGTCAAACAACACACAGGGATAAAGCCTGGATTCAACGTCGACAATAAACGACATTTATAGGAATTTTAAGACAACTAAGACAACTTATAAATTCCCGCCAAATAAGTATGTGGTGACATAACCGGTCTGAAAAAATGTCTTATTGACCACAGGTGGAACCAGTGATAATTTGTTTATTCAAATCTGATTAAGGCACTATGACTCTAAAAAAAGCAATTTACTATGTAATCTCATATTGGAAGCAACGTGGCATATAAACGAACATTGTTTTTTTCCCAATGTAGATAGGAGCTTTCCTTGTAGACAAGCCTTACTACATGTAAGTACAAACATATCCAAGTCATCATGGCAATTAACATTCCTATTAAGTGTGAATATAATCCGTTAAAATTCGCTCAAGATATCGAGCGGACACCGTGTTGACAATTGAACACATAATGGTGGTTATCGAACATCTCGAAGCTTTTAGAGTAATTAACCTTCCTCTGAATTGTGAAAACAATCCGTTGAAAATTTGTAGTTCTTTGGTCAACAATAACTACATATATAATGTAAAGAGGGAAACCTGTAACATTAAATAGTTATTAATTGTGAACTCGTAAGAAATATTTTTCCATGAACGTATGGCAATCCTACGTTTCAATATGATATATACTTAGTATGCATTGTTCTATACTGTCGGTTGAATATCTGCCTCAATGAAAGACGAGCAAACAAAAAAAAGCACATTTCACGTTGAATTGGGTTAACAGCGAAATACACAGACACCTTGAAATGTCCTTAGCATATCGATCGATAAGCCTTCTCATGTTTGACTGCAGCAAACGATCTTGTTTTACTAAGAAGGATTCGAGAGAAAAACAATCGTTACCTTATTTTTCAGTTGAGATCCACTTTGGAAAATATAACGCTTACACTTGGTCTCAAGCCGAGTGCAAACAAGAACATTTCCGGGTGAAAGCTTACCAGTGTTGGATGTAAAGCAAGATTTATAGTCTCAAACTGCAAGCATACGGTATTAGACCTGCCACCATGTTTTACTAGTTGCACAGGTGCCAATAAAACAAGTGACTGTCAAAGTACTTTCATCGTTTCTGTTTTCTATTTCAAAGTTTAAATAATAGATTCTATGAGTGCCCAGAGGTGCTCCTTAATTCATATGAAGATAGTGTAGTTTACAATTAACTCATGTTACGACTGTTATAAATCATAAAGCACATTGGTGTTCGGGTCTCATGGACCAGTGATCCATATCTATATATTGATCTGGGAAACACTGTCGTGCATCTCAGGCGGTAAGGCATTTACCGCTGGAGCTATAGTGACGAATAGGGAGACAAAACGAAAGAAAACAGTTGAAATCGGTAGACGTCATCCAAGATATCGAGAAAGAAACAAGAGAGTGACACACGGATTGCTTATTCTACTAAGGTTAATGATGATTCAAAGAAACCGACAGCCATCTTTTATATCCTATGCTGTAAAGCAGTGAGGCATTGTTCCGTACGGTGCCACATACACTCCTGTATCAATGCAATTCCTCTTAGATACTGTTAAACCACACGGTACCGTCGGTGTATAGTACTTCTGCCGTATATTGGTATTTAGAGATGGCTGTGAGCAACAAAGTGTACGCGCGACTATGCATTGTTTATAAGACATCAATACGTTGTGTACAATTGTAATGTAATAAAACTGTCGCTGCGAACGTCTGTGGGGCTGGTGTTTGTGAGAAGTTTGAGAATTTATTTGTTTAGATATTATTGTGTATCACATAAACTGATGTTCGTAACGGATCACAGTGCAATTTCAATATGAGTTGTACATTTTGCACTTCTGTTTTTTTGGACGGTAGCCATGTCACGTGTGCGTTGAATACTTGATGTGAAAGTTGTGTCCTGCATTGACAGCATATCATCTTTACCACCGGAGAGGTCAGCCTTGCCGGTCACTGCGCCGGACAGTGAGACCATAACTGACTGGTCAGTCTCAGACAAGAGACATTCAATTTATTATCATGTGTACAAAAGAACACCTGGTGAGTATAAGTTGTAATAATTTACTTTTGTTTTAATTGCTTCTTTTGATATTTTAAGTGAGTTATATAATCAAACGATACCTTGCTATATTCATGTTTCAAAAGTACATCAAAATATAAGTTGATTGTAGTGGACGATTAAAGAAGTTTGCAAATTGCAAAAATAAACATGATTTTTTTTCCACTTTGATATTTTTTTTAAGTTGGAATATAGACCCTCTAAAAAGATATTTTATGTAGCTTATTCTAAATCATTTACAAACAATTTGTTCATGCCATGGACCAATATTGCTTTAATTTGACATGTTCAAAACTTTGAAAAGATAGAAAAAGATTCGATTTTAGGTATTTTGGTGAAAATCAAAAAAACTTTAATACTTATAAGCTGGAATAAGACAAACTATCAATTCCAGTGAAACTAATTTGACAAGTTTCTTTTGGAGGCCTGGAGGTTCCACTCACGGGTTATATCATTCATGAGTACTTAATATGATTCATGTATGGACGTCTATCACAAAATCCAATAGAAATGGGGAGGGAACAGATACTAACTGACGTATGATTAGGTACAATTGTAAATTCCACTGCTGTTTTGGCAGTAAACCGTAACCACCGTAACCTCGTATAAACAGCCTTGGCACTCACAACCGAGCAAATCGATGGCGTTTATTACATTATTTCTACGAACATACTATCTACCTACTAACCTCGTACACTGTACTTCGGCTGGATACGTACTGTACCGAGTAGTGAAGAATTTAGCCGTTAGATGTTCTGGTGCTTCATCTTTATTTCTATTTTTCTATTAGTAATTTACGGACGAGTAGTCGTGTTTATAACATTAATACTTTTAAACGTTCATACATTTGGCACAGTAATAAAACATATTCAGTGATCTAAACATGCACATTTTAATAAATGAAATTTCACCAGAAAGGTTAGTGGCGAACATATGAAAGTACAAAAATGTGAGATAAAAGCTTAATAAATATACTATCTGCAAAATTGGAGGAAAATAATTCAGGAATCCATGCTGATTTCGTGTTGTTATGAACTTTAGACATTCAAAAATTGTGTTACATGTACCAGCAAAACTGACGAATCATGTGTTGCTTTTAAACTCTTTTAAAGAAAATATCAATATGGATAAGATGCATCTCAGTTACTGGGTTCCTGCATTGAAGGTGTTAAATGACAGTTCGTGCTTTTGTGTTATATAGAATGTTGCAGACCCTATACTTTTGATGTTTGTTTTCCAATCAAATGACAGTGCATTGTATGACTCTAGGACCACGGTGTGAAAAGCACGGTTAGCTTTACGAGTCATTGAGCAAAACTTTTTATAAATATATTGACCAAAATGCCATAATTCATAATTTTGTTAACAAAAAAATAATTCTGGTAGATACCACTTTTTTTTTAGTTCGGGGAGATATTTTTAAGGAAGACTTTTTACAAAAATCCTCCTTGACCGACTTTGTTTTACAACAGGAGATGAATTTATCGAGGTGTATGTCAGATCAGGTAACAAAGATCTTGCTTTCAGATTCATCATTTATATGTTGACTTTGATAACAAAAAAGTCATTGACCTGTAGTACGTTAACACCTTCCTGAAGTTGTAATGATAGACAGGACAAATCCCTCTTCGTAAGCAGTCGTCCTCGTTAGCATTTGACCTATAGTTTTTAATTTCAGATGATCGACATTGATTGCATACTATAAAGCTTCATGATTAACATGACTGTTTTTATTTTCCATCATGAATCTTCCAATTTCTTGAGAGTTACATCCCTGCTTCTCTCACTTACTGCATTAACATGTACCATTGATTGGATACTCACTAGTGTGATCCGAATACCGCAACTGCCATGACAGATGTCGATTGCTGACAAACAAATATACAGCAAAATGTTTTGTCAGATGCAAATTGATGAAAACAATAAACAATAAAATGGTCCTTATCATGATAATTGGGACATATCTATTCCATTGTGACTTACCAATATTTACTGTTTCGGTTTGTTAACTGCAGTGCAGTGTTCATGTTGAATTCTACGCTATCCTTGTTCTATGTTTGTAAACTTTACATTATCTTGGTATGAAATATATTTGCAAAAAGGATGGCGTTGATGAAGCAGAAGGCGTTTTCTCTTCCAGAACCCCTAGTGGGTCTTTATTCTCCTTATACTTTTTCAATGGTTTTCGGAGGAATGTTTTATCCGTTCTGATTCTACCCTAGTGTAATGGTTGGTTTTAATTTCGGTATTTATTCCAAAATAATGTCAGTTTGAAAAGTTGATAAATAACACGTTATGATTTTGAGGACTTGAATAACTGTCCATTTGGAAAAACAGTAATCAAAAAGCATATCGTTTGACCTGCGTTTACTGGCTGCTTCCTAACCGACGGTGTTTATGTGTCACTCTTGATTCGGTGTTTAGGAGCTTGCTATGGATAATATGAATTTCGTGATAGATGCTCTGACAGATAAACTGAAATAAAGGGCTTCGATATTAACTGAATGACAAAGTAGTTGGACAAATGTTGTGGTCGTCCTCATAATATCACTGTAAATATACAATGTATCCAGATCTATTACCTTGTGTTATTCGAAAATCGACTCATTAGTGTTCCTTCTTGAACTATTGTCTATATTCCGAGTCGCGCTTTGATGATGTGGCATTAATTGGATTTGAGCTCAGCTAACATGGTTGGTGTCGTCTTTGAAGCAGATGATGCGTGCCCTTCATGAACGCTAGGCCTTATTTTCCTGGAATGTTGCCAAAGGTCTCCATTTAAAAATATGCTTTGTTCATATTTAGCTCACTTTTATTATCGTTTTTGAGTTTCAATTAGAGTTTTTATTGCGCTTGAGTATTCTCGTGTTGTCTTTAATGCATGTTTCTCCTCCCAATTGCAAAATTAGATAATCGCGAATAGAACCCCTTTATGCAATGTTCGCAAAATAAAGAAAACGCAAGAATACCGTGATGTACATAACGAACGTGTTTCAATATACAGGTCAATGTGTGGTATACCACTTCCAAGATACGTAAGATGTATGCAACACTTGTATCCACGATAGACTGTTACAAACATCATCAACAAGACATCAGGATAAGACAGGTTGGTGTCTTAGCACCACGTCTATTTACACAGGCGACCGAGTTGTTTCATCGTTTATGCGTGTATGCGTTTCTATGTAATGTACCACATACATATATATATAGTTAGAGTGTTCGATATGAGAAAAGTAGAAAACGAGAGGGAAAAAAATGTAGCCACACTACAGGAGGCCATGAAGTTATAAGATGTATGGAATTGATTTCATGATTCGTGGCATTCTCGTTAGAATAGGGTAAAGCGTATGCCAGATGATGTGCATTTGTCCCATTATAAAGACAGCTCAGATATTGTTTAACGAATATTTTACAGTGTTTCTAAAGTAAAATAGTAATTGCACGACTCTGGTACATGTATTATGTTGTACTTTGACAAAGTGTCGTGTATATTTCTAATACAGAAAACTGTTATGCTATCCTTAGTCGTTCGTGATGTGTGATAGTAAAATGTATAAAAAAAAACAGTATTTATCTCGGGTTTGTTGTACCTGGGAATCCACCCTAGTTTTTCGTTATTATGTGCACCTGGCCTATACCATTGGTACATCTTGAACCGTATATTGTTCATAGCACGGTTGTCATTGTGGATATTTGTTTCTCTGCCTTGAGTTGTGTTCATGTACTGTAGGAGTGTCAATTGATAAGAAAAAAGGCAATACAAAATACTTGAGAGAAAAGAATCCCAATTATCGTCTTCTTCGGGAAAAAATACCTCACTTAAGTGTATGGGCCCTACTTTGGTATGAAAAAACATCAAGAATTTCCCTCGTTAAGACTACCATGTGGCCCTGTATAATGATTTTATTGTATTAATCATCCGTTTAGTCTCTCATATTATTGTACGTTTCTATCACAGATAAAAATCACCTTTACAAAATCAAAACATTGCTTCTATATCTTCGATATCTTTAAAACTTGGTATGATGTTTGCATTTAATGGTGTACTGAATGTTTAATGTCTGTTAAATGCATGCGACCTTTATCTTTAGATACGATACTTTCAAAATAAGCACAGCAGTTAATAAGATGTGTTTTGATGTATGGACACACCTATGTTTCAGGCAAATCTTGCGGCGCTTCAGAGCCTGACGGAGGAACAGGTAGCCGGTGAGTGTTACTGATACCAATCACTACCAACTGCTAGTAACCCTTCATTTATTACCACATTAAAATCGTACGAAATAAAACCCCAGTGATCAAGCATGTTTATATATGTTCTAATCTGTTAATCTATCTTGGTTCAACTGATGCAGTTTTGTACTAGATATCACAGCATGGCAGCAAAACAGAATACGGTTGAAATCGACATCATGGAGTGTCAATATATCGTTATATCAAACTGAAATTTTCTGTCTAATTCTGTTAACACATCGGCACGTATCAATAAAGGAATGTTATAGTCAACTATCTCAAAATGGGCAAACTCATCATTAAAGATGTCAGAACATTTAAAAATGAACTTAAACCAAACGACGTCTATTTGTAAGAAAACACATTCGTTATTATCAACACTTGAGAATACTTACATTGCGTGTACACTTATTTTAGCGGTTTTGCTTAACAAGAAATGTTACGTTCCATATCTTTTAATGGTTTAAAAAGTATTAAACATATAACATAAACAATTAAAGCTTTAAATTCTGTGAATATGTGGTCATATGGACCTGAGAAACTGGATATTAAACTGGAGTTCGCCTGGCTTTATATCACTTTCTCATGTTCATATAACCAAAAAATAACTTCAACAAAAGTCCATAATTGATAAATGTATACAATACATGTAACTGTATGGTATAGATAGCGATATATGGTTTAACTGGTTCCATATAGTATACACAATGTAGAGAGTTCACGTTGTGCTTACAGTTAAATCAAATAACACTACAAACCTTACAATCTAAACTTAACATTGCAGGAATATGTAATATTCCACATAACACGATAATAGCAAAAACCGAATTCAGACCTACATGAAGAATATACTTTACATAAATAACTTAACTGTACAATTTCACCTTATCACTAAAAGCCTTCTGCTGTAAAGCTCTAATGCTGCAACACATATACTGTGTAAGGCGTTAACCGATGCTAATGTCTGTCCTGAGACTTAGTATCAAGAGGATACACAAGTCTGTTACAATGACCTATATATACACAAAGAATGTTTTACATAAGGAATGTCTGACAGATCTGACAGTACCGCTTATATCACATTGTGTACAGAGTAGTAATGTGCTAGTTCTCTGACCGTCTTACTTTCCTTGCATTAAGTGTACTCCTTTCTCCATCACCATAATCTCTACTCGCCTATTTAGGTGTAATATACTGTTATATTTTATTTTCGCGAGATCACTATTTTCACATTGGTCAATTATGGCAGCCAATCACAAATTGATTTAAATTTTAAATTATTTTGAATGCATTCCTTTAGTTAAGTTAACACAATTCTATATATTGTTACTAGCTGTATAATGCGTTATGGTGTGTGCAATAAAAAAAAAGATGATTAGTAGACTTTTTTACCTAAATAGCAAAATGGGATTTTTCGAAGGTGCAGTAAAAATATTATTAAATCATTGATTCTGTCAGAGACTTAAATTTATAACAAAAAAATAGGAGAGTACATACAGCAAAAAACAAAAACAAAACAAACAGATTTAAAAAAAAAAAAAAAAAAAAAAAAAAAAAACAAATTAAAAAAAAAAAAAAAAAAAAAAGGAAAAAAAACAACAAACAATAATGGTATTCAAATGCACAACCTGTCTTACTATTCCTTACGAAAGATTACATTTACGTTTAAGAATTTAGCGTACATCATATACGCAAACCATATTTTCAGGTTATGTACATGGCCTAGTTATCTTATATGCACTTGAACAGATATCCTCACAACTGCATCACCAGCATTACCGTTATTAAGTGTTACATGGAGGCAATTTAAACAGCTCTGTATCGACACGTTTTTGAAACTCTCTTCAACTTTAATTAGTATTTTTTTTCCGTACGGTTACTTCTACTGTATGTGTTATAATAAATAGTCACAATGTTTATATTCAATAAGAACCCGGGGCGTGTATTTGTATAAGAAGCATACACTATATAATATCGATTATAACGACCTGATTAGGAAGGCCACCCTGAATAATTGAGTATTGTTATACAGGTGCAATGTGTCTTTGTGTAGTTATACTACCTGTACTGAATTAAGGTATAATGACATGGTAATTGTATACCTAAGGTGACGCCTCAAAGTTAAGTCGACATTCTAATTCAATAACTAATTACAAACTACGTGCATTGCTTAGACGTCTAATAGTACAAAACTACTCAAGTGGTCGTTCGGTTATGGATTGTGAACTGGTTTAATATGCTAATTACCAATTGTTTTATAGGTATTGTCATCACAAAGTCGACCAAAAAACCCAAATATCTTTTTTAAGTCCCTTTCCCACCGGTGAAAGAACGTACTTTTAAATCTTTGGTCTGAAATGCCATTATTGTTTTATAGAGACTGGGTACCAGCCTACCTAGTGTTTTGTTTCGGCGAATCAGAAGAAATAGGAAAATGTGATAGAACTGTATATGTAACGGCATTCAACATTTATAAAATCAAAAATGTCGAAATGTATATCCTTCTATTAATAATATATTGTTCTCAATAAATGTTTGAAAATGTACTTCTTATAGATAATCTGTATCAATATAGTTAAGGTTATGCTATTGTGTGGAAAAATATAAACATGTTTAAATAGAATGATCAATTCTAAATTATACTCTTTTTTATGTTAAAAGAGATTTTTATCAGTTACAAATGATGAAGATTTTCAACCTATTACATATATATATCAGAGACAGTTGTATTTTGGTATTTGTTTTAACGATATGTATCCATCCTGCCTTGTGCTTTATAATGTTATCACCAATAAGTATCTTTCTGGTAATAATAAGCTATTGACATGAAAACGTGCCAAGTAACCTGTTCTATCGGAATATATATCATTGGTGTTCTTGTATAATCATTAGGCCATCTGTAATATTTTACATAAGTACAGCTCTATGTAATAGTAACGGGGATAGACCATTTTGCATAAAATGAAGTCATATGTATCTGACTATGTGTATTTCATTTTATGCATAAGTTGTCTTCTTACATAAACAAATAAACTTTGAAATGCATGTAAGCCAAAAATATATATTTTGTTTTACTGAGAAGATTGGTGTTTTGTACAACACAATAATAAGATGTAAGGTAGCATCAACATTTAACACTAGTATTAGTTATATTATGTAAGGTAGCATAAACCCTTAACCTAATTATAAATCACCTACATTTATAACAATTATAATTTGTAAGGTACCATGTAACATTACATCTCAATCAAACGACAGGTTAATTGTGTAAGCTAGCAAATATCCTTAACTCCTATATAAATCACTGGTATTATGTACAAGATAAAGTAGCCTATTTTTTCACAACAAGTAACTTTTGGCCCCTAGATTCACCGAGGAATCGTAAAAGGACAAACAAATCGATGTTACAGTGTAATTGAAATTGTATAGGTGTAATCACACGTGCTTTTGTTACGATCAGTTTTTTCTATTTTTAAAATCATCATTCCAGAGATACGGGAGGCTTTCAGTGTGTTTGACAAGAATGGGGATGGCATCGTGTCGTTGAAAGAGTTGGGGACAGTGATGAGGTCACTAGGACAGAACCCGACAGACGCCGAGGTACAGGACATGATCAACGAAGTGGATGCGGACGGTACGGCTTTTCGTCTTTGCTTACTGTATCAATGGATCGAATTTATGATTTGTTATATATTTACTGGTGTCAAAACTGTTGAACTATAAATGATTCTGTCTCTAGAGTTTTGTATATGCGTGTAATTAATAAGTATTTACAGTTATTCTCTAAAGGGGTCAATACGGTATTTTCGTTGATCATTCACAGAGTATGTCTAAGTGCAAAACTGTAACATTAAGTAAGTTGAGATCTTTTGAGAAAGCCAATGTAGCAAGATAAAAACCAAATACATTGATATTCGTACCCACACTTTACAGGGAATGGCACTATCGAGTTTGTAGAGTTCGTGAATATGATGAAGAGAAAGATTGACACCATTGACGACGCCGAGGAGGTCAGACAGGCCTGGCGGGTATTTGACCGTGATAGTCAAGGATTCATTCACGTGGACGAGATGAGATATGTGCTGACCAGTCTGGAAGAGGTTGATGTGTCTATTGAGGAGGTGGACGAGTTGTTAGAGGTTGCTGACAAAGATGGAGATGGTCTCCTTGAGTATGACGGTAAGATGGTCTGTCTGGCTTCTGGTCATCACTATTCTATTATGGCCCTTTCCTGAGGCTCTTATAGTGTTTTCTGGGGAGGTATAGTGCCCGAGCCGATAGACGAGGCACCACACCTCCCTAGACAACACTATAAGATAACTGTTCCCGAGGGAAAGGGTCATAACAGATATAGTACATCACATTACTGCATTGCTTAGCCTGTGCGAAGCAATCGACATTCCCGGTCCCGAATCTCGAAGCCATTTTGGAAGACGACAACAATGAAGTGAACGTAGAATATGTACAGCGCCCCCTAGGAGAAGGGGCGCAACTCTTAGCGTCACATTACTTTTCCCGCAGTCTCAGCGATCCAAAAATAGATATAGTGCCCGTCTCAGGTATAGTTCCCGTCGTCAAGGGCGGATGCTAACTATACAAAATAGAACAAGGGTAGTTATGCAATAGCTATCCTAGAAACTAAAGGGTAATATGATATATAGCTATAATATTCAATAGCTGTTGGAATTATTTCATACGACACACTTTATACGCCAACAGTCTAGTGCAACCACATGACATTACTTCAACGGCTAATTGATATTGGAAACACGAGTCAAATTAAAACATTATGTAGAGAAAGAATCAGAGTGGTTGGGTGTTGCTTATACGTAGAAAGTGATTTGATATATTTAGCAAAATGAAATATAATATTATAAATTAATGATTGACAAGTGTTGACAACCCGTAACCAAGTGTAAAGCAAGACGATATTTGGAAAAATAATACAACGATCTGGACAGGAGAAACTATTGTCTGTCGTATTTGCTTTCAGTTCATAAATAACGGATTGTAACGTGAATGTCAGGTACCCACATGAAACTAATAGTCACAATTTGGAAATGGAAATGTTTGATAAATTTAATTTTTAGTTTTACAAACTTTTCGTTCCAGAGTTTGTGATGATGATAACAAAGAAAGATTGGAGATAGCGTAATACGCTTGCAGAACAAGAAGTTGTGTACAACGACAAGATTTCCTGCATCGACCGAATTTGGGCTTTACTGAAGTGATATGAATCGATTTTCTGTATATATTGACATTTTTGTACTTGTACGAGTAGTTCATAAAAAATAACAAGGACGGATAAACTTCCTGACAAAATTTCTTACACTGAGAACATTCCAGATTTGTGTTTACAATTTTATTCAGTATTATGTGCATTTTATCATTATATATAACTATCGTCATACATTGTACAACGGCCCTCAAAATAGATCAACAGTCATACCTGCATTTTTATGCTCAGTTCAAGTCCACAAACAAACACATGAATGTATATACAAGATATTTAAATACGTTAAAGTCATTTATATAACATTTGTGTCTAGCATGGTGTACCCAAAGTTATATGCTTCCTTGCTGTGATTTGCTTACCTCCTAACTAAAAGAGTTCAATCACCATATTAAATATATTTACGAAAATTACAACAGAATTTGGAAAATAATTGCTTAAAATGTACATTTTAAAGATACCGCAGAAAATGTTAACTAAAAAAACTTATTTTCAATTACTTCATAATAGTAATGAAACATTTATTAGGTAAACATCAAAACGTCAATTACAGGCATTGTTAAAGGTAACATATAATCTTTATTAACCTCCAATGCATGTGTTCACCCCCACTGAGATCAGTGATAAATTTAATCCTTCAGCTATCTCTCTGTATTTGAGTGTCACACCAAGAATCCTGCTAAATAATAATTTGTTCAAAAACGAAACTCATTCATCTTGATAGCAAATCAATATAAAAGTAAACATAACTAGGTCATAGGTTTCAACAACGACAACCAATCAAACATAAATGACCTAGTTCATTCTATTATGAAGGAAGCTCACTGCATTTACAATATTGGTTGGGTTTTCTTTTGTAATTTTAGCAAGAAAGTGAAAGAGAAACATTTCTATAGTGAGAAAATTTAAGATTAACAAATGAAAACATGCAACTGCTGGGCTAACTCTAATGTATACATGTGTCGAGTAGATATCCTGGGGAATGCTACCTCAAATATAACAACCAAAATATAATTTCTACCTACTACACACCTGTATCATGATGCAATCTTTCCGACAATATCGTTGGTAGAAATATATATATATTGATGCTGTGGTTAAAAACTATCTTAATGAATCGGTAATATAACATCATTCTACCTTTTTGTGATGAAAATCCTAACGACTTCATATCTGTATGATGTAATCAATGATGATGGTTTTACACTAACAGGTAAGAAAGAGCACTCTGTTTACCATCTAGGCAAAAACGTAACTGTTATATGGCAATACCATGACCACAGTTTTTTAAACATATATTCATTCATATTCATAATTTAAACCACCTGAAATAATTGACTAACTTACAAGGTATTTAACACATTACATGATAATGGTATTTGCGTTTCTTATACAAATATTTTGTTATTATTTGATAATCGAAAAACAAAGTATCAATATATCACCGTATCTGCCGTTTTTATTTCATTGTTATACACTTAAGCATTGAACTGCTTTCAGTTGGCATTCATAGGCAATATGAATGCCAACTGGATAAAGGCAAATTCATTGAATGGATTTTCCTTTGTCCAGTTGGAACTCTGACTGAGTATGAATGCAAACTGAAAGCAGCTCAATACTTTATTTACCATTTTTGGAATTTGTTCACCTCAAAAAAAAATCAATTAAACTTATAATTATTCAGTATTAAGTTCAAATAATGTATATATCGTGTATGCTTGTTCAATTAATAGAAAAACCATCGCCCAGGAAGGGTCAATGGTATCCAACGTAACAATTATGACGTCATAATAATGATGACGTCAGCGATCGGTCCATGGCATTCATAGCCTATATGAACGTCAACTGAATTTGGTAGGGTTATATAGTGGCAATGCCATACGATGGTTTATACATAGTGTTAACTGCTAACACCTGATGAGACAGGTCATGTAAAATTCGATATCATTTTTGTATTATGATGTATTTCAGAAATCTGGAAGTCAATTTATAACAATTTAAAATCTAAATATTACAGCATTTTCTATTCAAAATCTGTTTTTGCAACTTTTAGAATGTGCAATCGTGAATTAATTTATTCCATGATTTCTATTTTGTCAGGACGCCATATTTATATGACAATTCAATATATCATTCTATAAATATTGTACTTTTATGACCTATTGATTAACACACGAATGAGAGTGAAAACACGCTATAATACCTCGCTATACTGCTTCCATTTCTTCAGCTTAAATGAAGCGTTCCTATATGGGATTTGACATTATATTGAATGGGCTTAACAAGCGATTGGTATGGAATCTTAAAATGGAGACTTGAAAATAACGTTGGCGATTAGAGAGATGGCAAGGAAACGAGAGACATTATAATGAGGATTTACTGTATTTTAGTAGGTGCCTTGCATACAATTGCAAAGATAAGCGGTTTATAGATAATCTCATACGGCATCTTAGTGTTAGGATATTGGAATGAAGGATGTAATGGACGTCAATTAATTTCCATCGATGGAGTTTCAAAAACATATTTGGATATTGGCTAACTAAGATTGTTTGCATTTCTATGTACATATATACAATATAAAATGTTACATTATTTCATTGGACTACTCTGTGGCCTACAACTTACAGGTTATTTTTTTTTAAAGTTGTCTTATTTAACTACTGTTTATCTTTGTGATATTTATCAATCCGGACTACGAAATTATAAGCTACTGAATATCACCGAAGCTGCACTATTTATCCGGATGATTCTTAATTCTTTTTTTAGATATTCACTTGTCCGGATGTAGCTTCCCAAAAACTTTTAAGTAAATGAAATATTTGCAGTTTATGACGTCTAAGTACACACAGTGTGACCTTTATATGAAGAACCTCCTTATTCCTTAATCTTGTATAAGCCTGACTTTTAACATGTCTCATTTTGTATATTGTTATACAAATCGATTTCGTGGAAGGAGAAAGCATGAGAATTACAAAAATAAAAAATAAATCTATATGCAATTTAATTTAGAAAGGTTTCACAGAAGCACAAAAAAAGTTTACACATTAAAAAGTAACGTCATCAAATATGTGAAAATTTAACACCAAAATAGAAACGTGTTAATGTTTATGCTACAAATTTGGTGTTAAACGTCACTATAAAAACTCAACTATGCAATATCAATTCACCCCATTGCACCTTTTAAGCACATTACTTTGATTGTTATGTACACTTTCCAATGTGTGACTTCAATTAAAAGTGAATGTTTATCTTAACTGATTTTGGTTTTTACTCTTCTCTAAAATATCAATCTATTGGCGCTCAAAACGCTCCGATTTAATGTAATGGATATTGGCATTCAAACCCTGCGACGTGTCGAAGAAATAAAATCATAATGATTCTTCAACTGAACACGTGTATAGCAATGTTCGAAAGTGCTTGGCGCATGCTAAACATTCCATACAGATGTACGATCCCATTACATTACAGCACGCATCGCCAAAACAAGAGCATCATTTAATTATTTTACACAAACATGCACAGATCCCCATCGCCCTGATTGATAATGTCATGTTGCGCCTTTTTGTCATAAATACATTTCTGACTTACGTCACTGAAGACGTTAATGTTTGCACCAACTTTTGAAAACGAAGATAAAATATAAAAAGAGTTTTTAAGTAAGGTGGTTGGTTTTGAAACTATCTCAATAACTCTTGCATTAGTATACATTTGGTTTACGTGTCTAGATAATGTCACTGTCTGTGATAGTAGTAGGAGCTGAGGCGACGAAGGGTAATGGCCCATTTTAAAAGATAAAGTAATATGATTTGAAGAGTTTATGTAAATTTTAAATCCATTCGCACGTACGTTTATAACTGTAGTATCCGTCAGTCCTTGTACATATACACAGAATGTTCATTCCGTGATGGCGTATCAACTCTTCGACATCATCGCCAGAAATTCTGCAGTTACAAAATGTGCATCATTAGGTTGCAACAGTGATGTTTTTAAGTCAATAGACAATACACTTAAACATTTTGTTTCAAAAGTTAGGTAGGCATGTGATCATATTAATTAAATAACTGAAACGTGAGCCAGAAATAAACTAGATTTACACAAAAGTCTCCAAAAAAGACCACAGAGATTTTAGAAACACATACACAAACGTAAATGCATTATGTAATTAAAAAATGCATGGCGAAAGAAGTTGAATAAAGTTCCTTAAAAAGTTATATTTATTCCTTACCATCGTAGTTAATTAGACCATCCCCGTCAAGATCTGCCTCGCTAATCATCTCCTCTACCTCTTCGTCAGATAACTTTTCTCCCAGACAAGCCATAACGATGCGGAGCTCCTCTCCGCTTATGTAACCATTGCCATCCTTATCGAACACTCGGAACGCCTCTTTTATCTCCTGTTCACTGTCAGAATCCTTCATTTTCTTTACCATCATCTGTAAAAACTCATCGAACTCGATCGTACCGTTGCCTGTAATACAAATAAGAAGAAGAAGAATGAAGCTCCTTAGAACATTTTGATATTAAATAGTACCAATTATAATATCATGAAAGTGTTTACGTCACAAAAATATCCCGACAGTATTATATTAATCCAGTATTTGTTAACACATAAACTGTCAGATGTAACAGAAACACGAAGAACTTTGAGTGGCTGTAAAGGTGGGCTCCAAACCAATGCTATAAATCCTATATGGTCGGCCCACGCAACGATTTCTTTAAAAAAAAAAAAATATTTCGAAACACATAAGCCAGACTGCTTTCAGTATTGAAAGTGATCTCAGACCCTTTAGGACTTATATTGACACATGAGAGCTCCTTCAACTACTCCTGGTCAGAAAAGAAAGTTTAATATGAAGCCTGTAAAATCACTATTTTAAAATGCAAAGCTGATAACTTCCTTTTAATGCTGTTAAGGGGTAGTTGATTATTTTGTTATATTATATATGTTCTTATTTTGAAAATAAAAACTTCACCGGTTTCAGATTTTAAAAATATGTTTTCCATACAAAGAATATTTCTGAAACGTAATTTATAAGCAATAACATTTGGTGAACTGACACTTTAAGGCATAGAATGAGGAAAGGGAAGTTATGTCAAGTAATCTGTTAAGCTCAATTCGGACTCAAGCTTTGACAAAAAACCCAGTACTGGCATCAAAAATTATAACAAATAAGTACATATTTGATATCAACATGATTAACTACACATTAGCAGCAGCAATATAAGGAAACAAATTGATCATTATATTAAAATAGTGATTTTCAGGCTCTTGAGAAAGTATAAAAAAAATTGTCCTGACCAGGAGTATTTCAAGGATCTCCAATTTGGACCGTCATTTTCAATAATGTCCCAGTCTGGCAACGTTGTTGAAAATATGAAAAAAATCTCTGCGAGGACCAAATATAGACCCAAACAATTATATTAATCAATGAGTTCACCGAATCAAAAATGGCACATTAGAAATAAGTTGTGATTTTTAAAGTTCGTAACACTTTATATAAAACAATAAACATAATCTTTAACAACAATTACAAAACATGCCTTGTTGTAAACATTCGATTGTTCATTATTGTTATTGATGCGTTTACCTTACCATCAGTATCTACTTCTTTTATCATCTCTTGTAGTTCGGCATCTGATGGGTTCTGTCCCAGAGCCTTCATGACCGTTCCAAGTTCCTTTGCCGACACTGTACCATCACCATCTTTATCAAAAAGGCTAAATGCCTCCTGGAATTCTATTGGAGAGATAAAAATCATTATGAGCTACTGCCAAAGAAAAAAAAAAAATACTGATTAAAAAAAAAGCCTGACACGTGAGACGTGTAGCACGTTTAGAAGTGTACAAGGTCTTAGATTCAAATCCATCAAACGTCGGAATGTTGATGTGTCCTTGAGTAGGGTAATTCCAGAACCCTTAAAGCTTAAATTTAGCTGGAAAATTATATGGTTTTGATTTGTTATCACTGTTTCCATGCAGTGATGTTCAAACGGAATGACACTGTGATTACTGATGTTTCAAACTATCTGTCAACATTTTGTCATTTAACTGTCTCCCTTTTGTTGGAAAATGCATAATTTGGAAAATCAGAAGCTGCATTCATTTTTTGACACGCTTTTCCATGTTTATTTATTCATGAAGTATTCATTCAAAACTTAATTGTTCTATTTCCATTATCTTAGTCCCAAGAGATGAAGTTCTCTTCACTCAAAAAGAAAAAAAAATCAATGCCTACAACCCTTGATCATGAATAAAATACTTCTTCGAAACAAACATCAAGTATACACGTAGATATCCTTTACAACCGCTCCGTCCTTTATATATTCTACATGGGATCTCTCAATCATTTATTGATATGTATCTATGTACTGAAATGCAGTATGAATGCCTCACTCACCAGCTATCTGATCTGGTGAGAGGTCTATTTCATCTTCAGCTTGTTCTGACGTCGTAGACTTGAATAATAAAAAATGATTAAAAATATCAGTTGGTCAGGGTTACCCATTAGAATATGATATTGGATATGTATGCAGTGTATCAATGTTAAATTTCAAATTCCAATCACAAGCTACAGAATAAACCCCTATCATCTGCAGGGAACATTTATAACATCCAATGTGGGATGCAGCAGGCTATTAACTCATCCAAAATATGAGAAGCCATCCGTATTAATATGGATAGGGGTACGCATAATGCGATAAGCTGTCAATAAACTCTCACCTGTTTCATAAGTACTCGAATACACGTAGGACTAGGACGAGGAAATAAATAACTGTACAGTACAAATTGTTTGGTAAAGCAAATCACGAAAATGTTTGTTCTTTGTAAAATAAGGGCAAGTGCAGCTTTAAGCTATGTCCGGCAACTGCATCGAATAAAAGACTAAGATGATTTAAAAACCAATGATAACAATGATTTCTGCAAGTGGTCCATATTCATAAAACGATAAAAACAAACTAACCTTAATTACCATTTAGCATAGAAACATTGTTAACATGTTAGTCATTCAATGTTTGTATGAGCACAGAGATAGACAAACGAAAAATCTATTTTAAAACAATAGACTGTGATTCGGGTTAGGCATGTCATATAAACCCAATCAATTATCCTTTAGAATAACCCTAGCATGATGCCTCTATTTCTATTTAATCACACGGTTACTACCACCACCTTCAACAGAATTAGTCGCCAAAAAACATGTATCTATTGTTTGCAATATGATACTTACCATTTTTAAGGAAATCCCTGTTTTCGCCTACATAGGGCCTATTAGTCGTATAATACGGGTAGTCATGAGCTGTTGGAATCTTCAATGTGTCCGTTTAGTACTAAACTGTGGTTGTTTTGATATCTGAACGAATCGATTTTTATGCATGGTTTGATGGTTTTATAAGCCAGGGTATAAGCAATATGTGAATTGTTTTATGTTGGTAGCTCATTGTATTTAATTATCCTGTACAGTTGTGACTAATTCTTTATATGAACGTGTCTCGTTTCCAGTCACCCGTAATCTAATACTTCGGCTATTGTAATGTCCTCAGATACGTTTCAAACGGACAGACACGGGTTTGGTGCACGTCACTCAAAAGGTAACTGGTAGCGATTCTGGTGCCAAAGTCTGCAACGACATCAAGCAAATTTCAAAACAATCAATTAATGATGATGATATGGGTGCACACCTGAAGTGGGATATGACGCATTTTAACAATATAATATAAAAAAACACTTATTTTTACATTGTTTGATTATATAATACTGTAATTTAGATATGACTTACCTTTTCGTCCTTAAATACATTGTTGTGTATTGTATTAGATTTATGGAAATTTATAAGGAACATTGGCAATGCTGTTAGCCTTTCACCTTTTTGGAAGTTTACCATGAAGTGCAAAAGTTCCTTGGATGTCAAACTAAAACTGCACAATCATTTATTAAGTCATAAAGAAGCTATTGTGATGCCGTAGACATATTTATTGATGATGGACTTTTGTCGAGCTAAACATATGGTTATATGAACCTGAGAAAGCGATAGTGACCGAGACGAACTGTTTATAAAAACAGTAACGTGGAGTCAGTATCACAAATCGCTGACCTTTGACAAAACTATTAAGCATTAAGGGAAATATGTGTCATCTTATATAAATAATATAAATACATAATATCACTATAACACTATAGAGAAATGGGATGGCCTCCATTTCACGGCATCATTAACCTTAATATTTACTAGTGAACTGTCATAATTGTGATAACGATAAATTTAAGGTTATAAAAAATATGTTAATTTGATGTCATTATAACGAACATTAAATCATGGAAGTAGATAAATTTACTAAAAATGTGAAACATGTAGGTAAAAATATTGAAACTTTGCTGCATTAGTTTGCATGAAAGTAATAGTTGACTGCTTTAAACCGGTTGCATGTGTTGTTATATTGTACCACACATTTGTGAGACTAGTTATCGCCCTGACTTTGCACTGTTAGTGACGATTGACCTAGATAATGCAAAGCACATGGCTTCTGAGTTGTCCAATATAACGACAGTATGCCAAATTAATAAATCAGATGGTTTTGGTATTTTTAAATTTATAGAAAAGATACATGCATGTGGAGAAACGCAGACCAGGAAATATGTCTTAACGGTAAAGTGGTGCTATGAAGGGTTCACTTAAATGTAGCTGTAACATATAAACCCACAGAGTACTTCTACAGGCATTGGGGTATAACCGTATGTGTATAGATGAAGAGATTTCCCCAGGCTATTGAATTGATAGCATAAATATAGATAAATGCAGTGGATATAAACCAAATAAAATATTCAAATAAATTCGAAAACAATACGTTCGGATCAAATAACGATTATGTTTCACATATTATATGCATTAGAAACCGTTTTAGTTTCATTGTTTTTGTTTGTATTTTTAATAACATAAAATAGTAATTTGTTCTAGTATTTATTCCAGAATACTTTCTGTTTTCCTATGAACCAGTGATCCGTGCCTTTCCTTATTTAATTTCTTTTCTCAAAATAAGATAAAGCACGTTTCAACTTGGTTATCTTTATTCTTTATCGAAAACATATCTCTACCCGGATGGTTAAAGTAAAAACAAAATGTTTACACAAAACATTGGCCTCGATACTATGATAGGATTCCGGAGCAGCGATTGCATATCTGATAGTCAGAAGCGAAAGAGTCTGGAACAATTAAGGGCTCTCAGGGGAAACGTTTCTTATTATTAATATGCAGCAGTATTACTATGTTCAGTTAGTTACCGAATGGCAGAGAATCAGTATATCTGAGTAAAGATGGTGTGTAATAGTTACTCGTGCATGTTATTTCATATACATTTAGTTCTAAACTAAAACGAAGGAGTGGAATCTGTGAAGGAAGATGCTGGGGTTAACATTTATAGAGGATGGTCTGTTGTCGGTTTATTTTGAAACAACATCTTCCAAATCAAGCGAGTGTACTGATTAATCTGAGATTGTGGAGCTTACACTACAGAATGCATGTCGTGTAATACTTGTGCTGATAGCTTCAACAAGATTGGTTGCCCGACTCTTACAAGTGTTCCCCACCACAACAGCCATAACCAAGAAGACGCTTAAATCTACAGATAAAGAGCCTTGCATTGATATCAACTGATTCCCTCTCCCAGCTTCAGTAAGACACCGCCATCTATTTTTGTAAACAGAACACTACATGTGTTGGTTTGTGGTTTTAGGGCGGTGAACATAACATTTCCTCAATGCGTCTTAGAGGTATGATTTGTTAACTGTATATCAAACAGGATTTTACAAAGCACAAACAGGCTATAGATATTGATAACCAATTTAACGGCTGTGATTGTTCTTCATACGGGGCTGTCCGCGCTGGTTCTGAATAGTTAATTAAGGCAGATCGGTTCCAGATCACAGCGCAGTGTTCAATTATCGACTAAACTGCAATACACTAAGAAGACTCTGACCTTTCGAGAAAAGGACTATATTTTGTAAATGGGCCAAAAAGATTTGATATTCTGATATAACGTATTTAAGACTGCTCCTGCCAAACCCAAATTACCAGAATAATTACACTGTGACCAAGTAAGACGGAGGGACAACTGTAATGTCAGAATCGCCCTAGCTCACGGTGAGTTTTTTTTACTTTACTATCAGATAAAAAACAAACTACTCTTCACTGATATAAATGTGTGTTAATGATAATAGCAGGCCTGCCTGATGTTTTGGAGCACCTGACTACACTACAGGTGAACAGCTGTCGGTCATATGTTAAGCAAATAAAACTAATAGCTGTAACCATCACACACTTCGAACCCGTACGTGCTGGGCTCATTTTATTGTTTAAGATGAAAGCAGACTTTTAAACTTTTCACAGAACTTATATTTACTGAAATCACCTTATCCACTTTCGTATGCTTTATTTGTGTGTTCATGGAGAATTGTTGTATAACAAATCACTTTCTGGATTCACTTAATTGGATTATAACTTATAAACATTGACCTTTGAACTACAACACCTTCGTTTTGTACTCGGTGAGGCGCAGGCAATGGAGTAGTCATCGACATAGGTAAAGAAACATACAGCTAATTGTTCTGAATGGAAATTGAAGAATTGGCATCTTTTCAAGTAATTAGGTTCCGTAAGATATAGTTTGAGAACGAAACAATGTATAAGAATTTATTTGTGCATGCTTACCTATGATATCTGTGATGTATGTACTGTATTTTATTGTATTTGGTTCTCATATCCCTCTCGTAACTATAAGATTAGACTTTATCCTTTATACAGAAAAAAAATCGTTTAGTTGGTACGCTAATATGTTGTGTTTGGATATATTACACACATATTTATTACTCAATTTAAATATGATATATATAACTGTAAAAATACATTTTATGTGAAATAATATTAAAAAAAAAGATGCATGCGTTTCACTTATACGCACATCACTGTTTTGAATTCCCTCAGGGGCAAAAACTATGCCTGTTTGTATATCAAGCATCTGAAAAGTATAATAAAACTTACTTGATTTACTTCAAAGTTAGTGTGACGTATATGAAGATTGAGACGGTGTACATGATGTCTAAGTTGATATCTCTCGATTGATTATTTTGCAGATGGAACATCTCTCACAGGAACAAATAGATGGTAAGTTTACGTCGTGGTGAAATACACCCTAAAATCATCTCGCAGAACGCACACTCCTGTATGTGACGTAATCTAGTCAGACGCCATAGTTCTCTATGCAGTTCATTAGCTATTATGGTGCTGCAGCTTGCAGCTCCAAAACACTACGTTTTAATAGAGCTTCTCGACTATGTCTATGATAGCGTAAAGTACAGATAAATCCCTCCACTTATAAAGTGAAGTAGAGAAGAGGAGGCCGATAGGTACTATGAAGGATGGTACGAGTTGACTGTTTTCCGGTAGAGGAGACGAGACAAGTCTTGGTCAGGTCACTTCATTCAGGTTAGAACAACAGCATAAGTAAATGATCATAACTTATGACCCTTATTACTCTATCACTTACAACCACTCCCGTTTCGCTCCCTTTTGCCTTACTGCAGAGTGTACTACCATTTCCATGTGTATAAATATAAATATAGATCTACACAGGTCATTATCCTAATCTTCCATCAAGTTACGTCACGGTTTTCGACAGTCACTGAAAGCCGACATTGTAGGTTTTCACTGTACCGAATGAGAATTTCACATCCTCATATTACGAACGCGTGTAGGTTTTTTTTTTTAACTTTTTGCCACTCATATAATCTTCGGTACATACTTTGGATGTATGCTTTGGTTTCGGTTGTGATACACTACGTCATGAAAAGCTTGATAACTAGCTAATTAATGGTCAATATTGTATGATTTTATGAGGCTTTCAATAACGATTTATATTGGTTATCAATTACGGTGTTTTCATTTTTTTTTCTCCTTGCCAGTATAGAATGCAGTCTCTACTTTGAGTTCTCCGCTGAAATCAAACGATTAGTATGCATTTATTTGTATTAAGAAAAATCCACCTCTGTGTAATTAGGATAAGAATCCTTCCCTTGTTTTTCTCTGAACTAATGCTGACTATGCTTTCATCCCTGGACTGGAACATACAGAAACTCTACCTATTTATAAAGTAATCATGTTAACTTAGCATGATAATTGGACCAGATAACAGTTAGTTTTTATGTGTAGAAACAATATAGAAATTATCTAATTTGAACTCGTGCGCTTTATTTTTACATGGCAGATTTATCATATTTATTTTTGTACTTATTAACGTTGATGTAACTGTGGTGTTTTTAGTCGTATTTTGTTAATACACAGGCGATATGCTGAAAGGGTGTGCATAATGTAGGTCAGCTATAACGTTTTCTACACTTAGTTCATCAAACCGATGCTATGCATTCAAAGTAAATACGTATAGCCCGCAGACTGCTGGTCGTATTTTTTATGCGAAAGACGGTTCTCTTATGAACGAGCAATAATAGATTTTTATTGGACACATAATGTAATCAACAAAAATATCTCCTTCGGATCACTTCTAGACGTTAGGTATCATTGTGAAGGTCGTTCTATATCTTAACTTAGTTATCTAAATGCATCTTCGGACCTTATTGTCGTCAAAAGTATGTATCAAGATGGTATCTATATATATAGTGTACAGAGCTTGTGTAGTTATACATTATATAGCTATGTTAATATCGATAGCTCGTCAGGGACCCATGTGAACTATTCGAATCAGTGATCACTGGGATCAAACTACAATACTTAGTGGACTAAACTGTCGTCATTGTACCTGTACATATATCGTCCTTTGTATAGACTGGGTCAATACATTGAGTTAGGTCACCTATTCTTACCAGACATCATTTCAGAATAAAATAAGATTTTGTGGTTCCTTCGGTAATTCCAATCGTGTCCTTGTGTATTTAGTCTGGAAGGTTTTCATGAATTACATCTTTAAAAAATTAATAGTTATAACCAACAGTTGTAAATTAGTAATGATAAAAAGATGTTTACACACCTTCCCGTTTAGCTGTAGATCTATCTATGTTCAGACATGGATTCCTTTTTATTACTGATGCGTCCTAAACTGACAATAGAGTTAAATATGGTACAGTAAATATTTACTCTATTTTGCTTTGTATGTTAACATTCAGTCATTCTAAATGTTTAGTTTTGATAGTAGCTTTCTTATTTCTAGTGATTGTAGATGGCGTTTTGTTTGTTTCATTTTACGTGCTGAACTGATGAATATTTCCAAGGTTTTCAAATTATATTTGCTTAATGAAATTACATGAACATCTTTTTGTCCCATCGGTTATATCTTGTATGAATGTATGATCGAAACAAACGGATAATTCTATAGTGAAATGTAGTTGTTAGATTCAAATCATGTGTGGATTCTGGTTTAATTTGTAAGTTTCTTTTAGTGAATTTACACGTCAAACTGGCGTCAATTAGTCACAGTAGCGGTCCCGCATTGCAGGCCAGCTTCACACCCAAATCTATATTTATCACAGATGTTGTATAAACTGCTCAGTTGAGTGTAGGAATAGGATGCGTTTTTTTCTTTATTAATGTCATTTGAAATTAAGATTGTAAGACTCCCGATCGATTGATAGGCCTTCAGTCACGGGAGGACTTTGGAATCGTACTACAGTAGTCTTCATTGCTTACAGACATGAAAAGAAATAACCAGAACTAATGGTGTCACTGTCATATACATCTGGAAAACTATTACCTTAGCCACACAGGAAGTTCTTGAATTCCTATTTAAAAATGTATATCGCATGTTTCTTTAAGACACAAGATGTCCCTAGTATTTGTTTTTAAAGTTTGAATTTGAATTAAAAATTATTCATGAAACAATCAGAAACTCGTTACCATCCATTTGATGCATTTATGTAAACCGGAACCTTAGTAATACGGAAACCTCTGTTATCCGAACACAGTTAAATTAAACTAAATTATGTTAAAGTTTTCCTATACCACTGCCAGAACTGTAATGCAATGACTATTTCCTTTCTGGCATGATTATAACTCTGATAAATCATTTCTGAAAAGGAACCCATACCATCCGGAATATTATGATTTGGATGTTACTGTATATATCTAAAACTTCTAGTGTATGTCGTGTAGGGGGAAAGGGATCACCATAAAAGTAAAATTTGTATCGGTGCAACTTTCAAAATAATTAAAATTGAACACAACATGCATGAATGGCACCAGTCTTAAGTCCTGATATAGATATTAAATCTTTACCCAAGATTGTACAGTACACTGTGGTGGAGACTTTTAAATGTGACTGGTTTTCTCTCCTCGTTCACCGGATTGTGACCGGATTAAGCGGTATTCTGATCGGCTTTAGATAGTACACACAAACATATTTCTCTGGATAAAACACACAACCCTATTTCTCTGGATAGTACACACAAACCTATTTCTCTGATAGTACACACAAACCTATTTCTCTGATAGTACACACAAACCTATTTCTCTGAATAGTACACACAAACTTATTTCTCTTGATAGTACACACAAACCTATTTCTCTGATAGTACACACAAACCTATTTCTCTGATAGTACACACAAACCTATTTCTCTTGATAGTACACACAAACATATTTCTCTGGGTAATACACACAAACCTATTTCTCTGGATAGTAGACACAAACATATTTCTCTTGATATTACACACAAACCTATTTCTCTGAATAGTACACACAAACTTATTTCTCTTGATAGTACACACAAACCTATTTCTCTAGATAGTACACACAAACCTATTTCTCTGGATAGTACACACAAATATATTTCTCTGGATAGTACACACAAATATATTTATCTAAAGATTTAATGTAATTAATGGATTATCTTATGAGAATCAATTAATCTCATGGAAATTGATACAATTAGATACAGATCTTCAGTTAAATCCGATTTTATGGTATGTATGTATGTACAGTGGAACTGTAATTAATTCTACTACCGGCAAATTTATAATTCTGTAAAAGTGTAAATATTTGCGTATGGATATATTCGCGTTGTAGCTCTAACAGTTAGTCCGAAATCTTAACATTTATTATATCTATAATCTGTATAATATAAACATTTGCGTGCATTTATTTTCGCACTTATATATTTAACGCAAAAATGCAAGCATTTCCACACTGTGAACATTTCCTCTTTTACAGTATAACTGTAAGGGTTTAAAGAAACATAAAACCATCAAAATCGTTTGCTTAATATATTTCATTTGATACAGTTCTCTATAACCCCAATGGTTCAAAACTAGATCTTACTAAAAAATACATCGTCGCTTTTGCTGACACATGGTATATGTATTATAGTGAATTGAAGAAATTATTCCAATACTAGATTCTAAAAGAAATGACGCATTTTGAATTTTGATTTTAAAGGTATTGTTTGAAAATATTGGAACCCTACTTTTTGCAAGAAATAGGATAAGTTATACACTTGGTATACATGTTACATGTAAGTAAAGGAAACGAAGTTTGACTAGTCTTAGCTTGTCCTTACTGATTGTGTTTCTCTGTACAGAATTCAAGGAGGCGTTTAAGATATTTGACCGTGACGGAGACGGTACGGTGGATGTAGTGGAGCTTGGAACGGTGATGAAGTCTCTGGGGCAGGAACCGACGGAACAGGAAATCAGGGACATGATCAACGAAGTCGACAATGATCGTATGTGTTTGTATTTCTTAAAAAAACCTAACTCATTTTTCAACATTATTATACTTTGCTTCTAAATCTTTCCCCGGTTTCGTTCTGTGTGCAACAAAGAATTGCATTACCGTATGGTGTAGTATTTATTACATTTCTAAATAGTATTACGGTCAATCAGGATAACTTACCGTTAAATGTTATTACTCTTGTCTGTTGGCATTTACAAAGTGATACAAATCGCTAATCTTAAAATTATCAACAAACTTGCGCATATCTCTGTATTTCATCATAAGTGTCGATCACTTTTAAAATGTTTAAACAGTAAATAACCTTGTTATTTCTACATGGAAAAATTCCATGTGATGTTGGTAACTTTGAATTGTTTCAGTTCCTTTATTGACAGATTGCGAGATTGGATGTGGTAACCAATAGCAACAATGTCTTTAGCATATATCGTCAATAACGAGATTTACTCACTTAATCACTGAACCATGACTTTATAAAAAGCTTTGTTTAAAATTTAATGGAGAATTTCCAATGTTATGCATGTCGAACAGCTACAGATTTGTGTTTTAGAATCTAGTAAACTGACCAAACTGCGGAAGCCGTGACAATGTTTGAATATAACTAATGATGCAAGCACTGGGCTCACCTCTGTTTATAATTGACGCCCCTGCAGCCGCAAAAACGTTAAATATTTTAATCAATTTTACTCACAGGCACTTCTTCTGGCGTTAGAACAACCATGTGTTGAAACTAAATGTTAAGATGAAGATTCGACAGTTTTGTGACTTTTAGTGCAATTAATTATCCAGCTGGTATAAGTGGCTTTAACGATACCGCACATGGGTCCGAGTATGAGTTATATATAAGTATAGACGTATATATAAAGCTCTCACTAGAAATACAATGTTAGATAGCACCTGCTGATGAAGAAACCCAATTAAAGCTACCATGTGGCTACTCAGTTCAGAATCTTTGTAAATAATCCAAACTGGAATTGAAATGGTAACTTTCTTTAATGCGAGTGCTTTCTAAATTCTGAGATTTAAACAAGAGCGTAAAATCCCATTTATTTTGATCACACGCAATTCTTTAAACCTGACATTTACAATTACACGTTTACATAAAGAAAATACAATTAATATACATAGAATATAGCATGAAACAATGTTTGTTTTGGATCCTTGAAATATGTATTTAATTTAATGTACTATTTATAAAATGAAATACGTAATAAATATGATTAAAAACGCAAAATGAATTACGTACTCAACAGAGAGTGGCTCAATCGAGTTCCCAGAGTTTCTACAGTTGATGTCGAAGAAAATGAACGACACGGATACAGAGCAGGAAATCAAAGATGCGTTTAAGGTGTTTGATTCGAACGCGAGGGGGTACATCACGGCCATAGAACTGAAGGACATTATGACCACTCTGGGCGAGAAACTGACCGACGAGGAGACGGACGAAATGATCCAATATTCCCACGCGGACCTCGAAGGCCACATCAACTACGTCGGTGAGTGTTAGGATTCAAAACAGTATCAGTTTAAAGACATACATCTTCTTAAGTTTGGGAATCGACTCATTTAGGGTAATGAAACGCGTGCGATATTGAAATGCATGAGTTGGTTTATTATAACGTTTGAACTACCCCGCTCTTATAAAATGAACCTTAATACCTTTATGTTACCGTATTCAATACGACAATAAGAAAACCTGTACAATTGTACTTTATGTACACACAAACTTATTTCTCTTGATAGTACACACAAACCTATTTCTCTATAGACGTTATTATTAACATATATCATCTATCAACTAAACGTCTATTCATTAGTTTCTTATTTGCGTCAGTCTATTAATTTCATGGCTTGAAAAGTAACATTTTAATGGCTATCTAAATTAACGATGTACCTCATTATTTCCGGAAGACGCTCTTCTACATAATTTAAACAAAGTAGTTGAACTCTTTGTACCAATTAAAGATTGAGTGCTACACTTTTAGCTTCCGTACATTAATCGGAAAGCTAGGTATCTATATATCTGATTTTATTCTTTTACAGAGTTCGTACGGTTGATGACAGCGCCGTGAGGCTGTATATAAAATGAATTACACTGTGGTTTGGAAATATGCCTAGGATGAACATCATAGACACACTTATACATAGATACGTCATAAATCGAGTGTACGCAATCATTTTCACACTGAAATAAAGTTCCTTTCCTAACCTTTTGCTCGTGTTTGCGAGGAGAGCGTTTGACTTGTAGACATGGATTCGTGGTAAACCCACGACAGGAGTGTTTCAGTATCAGACAAGGAAGTAAGGTGCCGTGGGTTTTCAATGGAGCATGACGGAACACTGCAGGGAAGCTTCATGAGATGTTAATGACGTCATACGTTTTCTACATCATGAATTAGAGTCGTGTAATGTATCTTTAACGATTTGGATATTCATTAAAGAGATACAAATAAATCAAACAGTTGTGGATTCTCTTTTGCTGCAGCACTGTAAAATAACATCAGCAATACGATATATACATATAAATCAAATCATGATGTGCGTTTCCTGCTGCAGCACTGTAAAATGATAATCGTCCACGACAGATGTATAAAACATAGCGCCTAAAATGTCCAGAGGAGGGTGTTTTTTTGTTGTTTTTTTACTTATATCAGCATTTAGGAAAAATCAGGCAGACATTTCAAAAAGATAATTTGTTGTACTTCTGGAAGAAAGTTATTAAAGACTGTTTTCTGAAGGGGTCTTGCTGGAAATTTTTAATTCTCGTAAAACTTCAAAAAATATCACTGTGTAATCCAAACAGCTTATAAATTAGTTTAATTACGCAGCGATATAAATAATACCAAAAGATAACCCAATACAAATTAAAGTTTTGCAAGTAAGAATTGAAAACTATTATATATGTGTATGGTTACATTGTTTCAATAAAGAATCATCAATAAATATTCATGTTAACCGAATTACAACAGTATGTTATTGAATTCAAACTTCACTTGACAGATTTCGGAGATATTTACACACTTGCTTAACTTCGAACTTGACATAACCGTGAAACTAAATACAATAGAATAATAATTAAATAACTCAGGTTTTGATATCATGGAGCAGCCGATCGAGGTGTTTCCTAACTAAAAGAATCCGCCAGTAACAATGTACATGTGCTATATGGTACATTTTAGGTTATCTCCAGTACAGATCCACCAGCAACTATGTACATGCGCTATACGGTAGGTTATCTCCAGTACAGATCCACCAGCAACCATGTACATGCGCTATATGGTAGATTATCTCCACTACAGATCGCTATATGGTACATTTTAGGTTATCTCCAGTACAGATCCACCAGCAACTATGTACATGCGCTATACGGTAGGTTATCTCCAGTACAGATCCACCAGCAACTATGTACATGCGCTATACGGTAGGTTAGCTCCAGTACAGATCCACCAGTAACCATGTACATGCACTATATGGTAGGTTATATCCAGTACAGATCCACCAGTAACCATGTACATGCACTATATGGTAGGTTATGTCCAGTACAGATCCACCAGTAACCATGTACATGCGCTCTGTGGTAGGTTATCTCCAGTACAGATCCACCAGTGACCATGTACTTGTGCTATATGGTAGATTATCTCCAGTACAGATCCACCAGTAACCATA